TTCCTTATACAAACTCTTCATGTTGGATTACGTTACTGTGTTAATATAAAACCCAGGTGACTTTATAACTGACTAAAAGGTAAGCAGACAACATAATAACGTTACTAGTCTTGTTTGAGTTAACTAGCTTATAAACTAGTGGTACATTGTTTAGTTTTACTGCTTCAAAAGTGCGAGTAATGTGTTATGCTGCTTAAAGTGAAGTCAACTCTAGATGGGATACAGGTGAGGATACTCGTATCAATATAACGTTAACTTTAGCATAATTTTTTAAACACTAACATTACAAGTCTAATAATTTTCACATTAGGTTGAGGGTTGGGGTTGACGTTAATAAAATACAAGTAATAGTTAAGTTTATAAATAATATAAATAATTATCGTTAACTTCCGGCCACAGATGTATCCCTTCTAACAACCGGTTACCGAGAAACGATATTGCTTAGCAATGTTTTATAATGCCGTCTAATGTTTACACTGCAGTTGCTTTGTGTTTATCAGCGAGTCTGGTTAAATGAGGTTTAAACGGATGCGATTGTCGGTCATTTCCTGTCTCAGTGTGTCATTTCTTCTCTCAAGTCTGCAGGATGTCTATTGATTTCGACAGCGCTGCTTTACAGACCCAGCAAGAGGAAGAGGAGTACGATCAGGAGGATTATGCCAGAGAACAAGAGGTATCGAGGCCACTTACTGAACACATGTTTCACAAACATCACACTGACATCTGTCATCATCTGTAGTGAAACCACATCTGCTACACTTCATAAGTGGACACAGTTCATATACAGTTCATATTTGCTTTGTCAGGGTAAATCAAAGTGTAAATGTTGCATATTAGTGCAGGGCAGGGGTGTAAAGAGTACTGAAAAATCGTGCGTAAGAAAAGTAGCATTACCTGCCTAAAAATGTAGTGCAGGTAGAGTAACTATCTTTTTAAAACATTTCTCAAAATATGAGTAAAAAATAGACCTTTTAAAAGTACTCATAATGAGTAGGGAGTATTACGCTGTGAAAAAGCTGATGATTTACATGTAATTTGTGGATGTGTAAACGTAACATTCTGTAGTGCATTTAGTTATTGCCCAGCAGGCACACAACGTCATAAGACGTTAATATTAGGTTAGATTTAGGTTGTGATGTCAGGTGACCAAAATTCAATGTCTAGCCAGCGTCTAAGCATTATTTTGATGTCTAATAACGACTTCAAATGACATTGATATTTGGTTGATTTTAGGTTGTGCTGGAAAGTGACCAAAATCCAACGTCAACCCAACATCTTAAACCAGGGGTGTCCAATCTCGGTCCTGGAGGGCCGGTGTCCTGCAGATTTTATCTCCAACTTGCTTCAACACTGCTGCAAGGATGTTTCTAGAAGCCTAAGAGCTTGATTAGCTAGCCCAGGTGTATCTGGTTGGGGTTGGAATTAAACTTTGCAGGACACCGGCCCTCCAGGACCGAGTTTAGACACCCCTGTCTTAAACCAACGTCATATTGACATCAAACACTGACATTTATTCGTCAGGTGTGGCAACCAAAATCCAATGTCAGATAGACGTCATATTGCTAACATCCACACATCATCAAGCTTTAACTTTATTAGATCCAACATCTAGCCAAGATTTTAAACCAACGTCATATTGACGTCAAATACTGACATTTATTCGTCAGGTATGGCAACCAAAATTCAACGTCTGATAGACGTCATAGTGGAAACGTCCACACAACGACAAGCTATAACATCATCAGACGTTGATATTCGGTTGATTTTTAGGTTTGATGTTGGACACGGACGTCGGCCTGAAGTTAAATTCTGATGTCAACTTGATTTTAATTTTCAAACAAAATGCAACGTCCCCATGACGTTGAGGTACAACGCCTATTTGATGTCATGTTGACGTCTTGTGTCTGCTGGGTGTTTAAGGCAACTTTTGGTCGTCATACAGTAAACATCCATTATCCTTTCATCAGTGACATGCATCTAAACAGTCTTAATGCATGTAAAGATTTTAGACGTCTTCTTGGACACTTTTAATGCTTCCAAACAGTTTGCTGCATTTATAAATCGCACATGTCTTGAGGTTGTTCAATATGATGCGATTTACTTTTGATTGGTCAGGAATCGCAGAACGGATTTTTCTAATCTCCATAGGCAAGAAAGATAAAGTAGTGACTGCAGGTTGAAGAATAGTAGTGGAGTAAAAGTACCAATACAGCATTAAAAATGTACTCAAGGGAAAGTAAAAGTTCACATTTATAAAACTACTTAATAAATTACAATTCGTGAGAAAAACTACTCAATTACAATATTTGAGTATTTGTAATGAGTTACTTTACACCACTGGTGCTGGGTAAACACTTAAATATATATATCACCTCAGTTGATCACCCCTTATAATGCAATCTGGCTATCAACTGCTATATAAATATCTCTTTATAATTTTTTGTCAGGAGAAAAGTAAGACTTGAACCATCCTGAAGATGACTTGACACCCCATTACCTGACGTAAATAAGTAATTAAAAAAACGGCAGTTCTAAAAGTTCCAAAATGGAAATGTAAAGACACCTATTTATGGGTGTTATGCTTAGGCCAGACTGAATCTGCAGACATTTTTTGCTATTTCTGTTGAGAATTTTATAATTAAAAAAAAAAATGCTGATTGTTGTGGAATTATTTTGGGAGTATCATAACTAAGAACTTAATATATGAATTAATAAAATAAAAAAATATATACATTTTTTACTTTTTATTTAATGTTTACAATGCAAATCTAATTAGATTTAACAGACTATATTTTTTCAGCACATTTCTAAACATAATTGTTTTAATAACTTATTTCTAATAACTGATTTATTTTATCTTTGTCATGATGACAGTAAATAATATTTGACTAGATATTTTTCAAGACACTTCTATACAGCTTAAAGTGACATTTAAAGGCTTAACTAGGTTATTTAGGTTAACTAGGCAGGTTAGGGTAATTAGGCAAGTTATTGTATAATTATGGTTTGATCTGTGGACTATTGGAAAAAAATAGCTTAAAGGGGCTATTGTTTCTGTTCTTTAAAATGTTGTTTAAAAAATTAAGAACGGCTTTTATTATAGCTGAAATTAAAACAGATACAACTTTCTCCATAAGTAAATATATTATCAGACATACTGTGTAAATTTCCTTGCTCTGTTTAACATAATTTGGGAAATATTTAAAAAAGAAAAAGTTGAAGGGGGGGCTAAAAATTCTGACTTCAACTGTATATATAGCAGAAAAGCTAAATATTGCAATGTCAGTTTTTTTTCTAAAGCCTAATAGACATTGTGTTGTTTAATACAAGACTCTGAGGAAAAGCAGTGCATTTTTTGTTTAATTTTTAAAAGACATTTGTAATAAACTAAAGTCACCACATTTCTTTATTATCTTCCTTTATTCTAGCCGAAAAAAAAAAACAAAACAAATAAGAGTTTCTCCTGAAGAAAAAATATTATAGGAAATACTGTGAAGGGTTTTTTGCTCTGTTAAACATCATTTGGGAAATATATTTGAAAAAGAAAAAAAAATCACAAAAGGGCGAATCAACTGTAGCTTCCTAAACATATTATCCAAAAAGTTACACAAGTCATCTTGTTAAATTGCATGCTTATCACAATTAATATTGCAGAAAAACAAAATATTGCAATGTCAGGTTTTCCGAAATTGTGCAACCCTAATAGACCGCGTTCAAGGTATACCGCGGGTTGGAAAAGTCAAGGATTTAAAAACGACATACCGTTCCTAAGGTACGAGTTAGATTTTTCATTGACATTTTTTTTTAGTTTTTAAGGACAACAGTATCTCCAGCAGAAAAGATCTCCAAATAAACTGTTTTAAAATGGTAAAAAAACAGTGTTTTTGAAACTAACGAAGACAGCAGAGGTCAATAATTAATTTCAGTTATTTAGCCTGACATGTTTACTGCTCCAAAATATTATAAATGTTTTCCAAGGGATGCATGATATATTGACGACCATATCGTTATCGGTCGATAAATGCTATTTATAAGACTATCAATATCGAACCGATGTCTAAATTAGCAGATAAATTACGTAATTGTACAGAACTGCCTGCCTCGCGCATGCGTGGGCGGAACGTGTTCAGACTTGTCCTGTGCACTATAATGGAGCTCTCCTTACATTGTTTATTCCTTAAAAGTCTGTCCTTTATTCATGTGGTATTGTTGTGCGTTAATTACTCAGTAAGATACCATGTTCCTTATTGTAGATATGTTTGATAGAGTGTCATTGTGTATTTTGCTTTAAATTGCCTCAGGAAAAAATGTTACATGTCTAAACATAACATCAGCGATGCACACATGCTAAACAACTTGTTGGATTGTTTGTAATCTAATATAGTTATAAAGTTCAGTTATCGATATCGGCCAAAAAATCCATATCAGTGCATCCCTTCCCAAATTAAAATAAAGCGTTCAATGGGAAAAAAAGTTTTAGTTTTTTACCCTGAAATTTAAAAAGAATCAATTTTAGAGAAGTAGTCACAATACCGTTAAACCGTGATATTTTTATCCAAGGTTATCATAACATCAGAATCTTCTTCCGGCCCATGTTTACATTGTGTTTGTAATAAAATACTCTACATGGGGAGAAAAAGCAGCGCATTTCTTGTTTTAATTCATGACAGAATTTGTGATGTACCCAAGTCACCATGTTTATTTATTTAGCATTTATCCTTTATATTTCCCATGAAAGTCCTATTGGGATTAACAAAAATCAGGGAGTCGACCCCAAATAAATCTGACTTTCTCATTGTTATTAATCTGACTTAAAAATTCTGTTCCTGGTCAAAAGCAGCTACAGTGTTTCTTTTTAAAAGGCAGATCTTGTCCAATCAGAAGCATTTGTTTTGACTCTCCCGACAGCCATCGGCAGCATGAATGAACGTTTGCTGCTATTGGTGCATGTGCAATGCGGTCAGGTGTGTTTGCTCTCTCATATAGCCTGTGTTTCCACTGCCTTGAACGCTCAGCGCTTATTACTGAGAGACAACTCACACCAGTTTATCTCAGAGCAAACATTTACTCTGATTGGAGGTATAAACTGAAGACCGTTTCGGGACTACGCTCAGAAAATAATCATATGCAGTAAATATCGATGTGCGCATCACATGCACCATCAATTTTTTGCACACCGGCTGTTTGTGTTTTCTTTTCCATCAGAGGAGGAATGTTTCTGCTCCAGTTAACTGAAACGTATATTCTGACCCCCACAATGGGCCGACCTTAGTCAGGACAAACGAGCACAGCATAGTTCCTCGCTTTCTTTTTTCTCGAGTTATTCATATGACTCACTCTGCTGCAATCCAGTATTCACACAATAGTCCTTCAGTATGTTATTGAGTGCAAACGCTCCTGCTGTAACTCTTTTAGGAGTGTAAATGCGGGAAAGTGTGATCTCCGAGGATGTGCGAGTCATCAAGCGGGAGTTATGGAGGGTGAGTTTGACTGATACTGAGCTGTCACGTCTGCTGTGTATTATACTTGGGTAAAGTAGATGTGTTCTGGGCTCCTTTAAGAAGCCTGCAGGCCATGTGTTGGTGCGAGAGTTCAGCATGGCTGTAACCGGGCGGGTGTGTGTGTTTTTGTAAACGGTTGCTACGGGCCCTGCAGTGAATCGGTTGCTCGCACATGCTTGATTCATTTCTCATAGTTTCTCTGTAAACTGTATAATGTAAAGAGAAATCTGCTTAGCATTTACATTCAGATGTTAACCAGACACTGTAAAATAAATGCTGGGTTCCACACTATCAATTTGTGTTGGGACAGCTTAACTTTATCTTTTTTTATCTTGCAAATTTAAGTGGAATGAACATAAAACAATTAAGTTGTCACAAAAAACCCTCAAGAATTTTGTTTTAGCTCATTTTAAATAAGTAGTTTGACAAACATGTATTATTTTGAGGATATATAGATATGGTTTATTAAATATATTATGCTATTTTTGATGATTATGAATGATTAATGCTGTTTTAACGTCATTTACTTCATTTATTTGTGTATTCTCTGTGTTTGTGTTGTGTTTGTATACAGTTTTTATTAACTGAGGCTACCAAAAGTTATTAATTTGTGAATTAAATATATATATATATTTTAAGTTTGTCTAATGATAAGGCTATTAAAAGTGTGTAACATAGACAGAGGGTGAAAATATTTAATACAATTAAACATGTAAAGTGACTTGAATTGAAGCAATACAAACTAACACAAGTGTACACATTAAATTGCATCCAGAAAGTATTCATAGCGCTTGATGTTTCATCTATTCTTTTCACAGATCATATATAGTTAATATTAAAACAGTTGTCAGGTGGTGAATGTTTTGTGGTTTAATATTCAAAGACACTTCATAGTTTTATCATTATTACAATAAACTTATGATTAATTTAATCTAAAATTCCCCCTTGTAAAAGTCTGCACAGGCCAGCTGGGGAGTAAAAAGCACCTCATTTTGCGTGGCTGTAGCCTTGAATGACTGATTAATTGATTGACGTTTGTTTGTTTGTTTGTTTGTTTGTTTGTTTGTTTGTTTGTTTGTTTGTTTGTTGGTTTAGCTCCACAAGCTCCTGACGGATCTCCCTGATGATATGCTGGATGACAGTGCTGACTGCTCCTCTCCAGAGCTCAACCACTCCACCTGCAGTCATCCAGAAGACAACAACAGGTACGAAAACACATTCGCGATTAATCTCATCCAAAATAAAAGATTATAAAAGATATATATATATATCTTTTATATATATATAGTTCTCAGCATAATTGAGTACACCCCATTTTGAAAAATATATTTTTATCATTTTTATTTTGCAAGTAATATTTTAGTCTATATTTTAGTATAGAAATTGACAGATAGCACAATTAAATTTAAGCAAAATAATGCAAAAATTAAAAAATTACAACCTACAAAATTTCTACAAAATTTTACTTTTTTGCTTCTCTTGATTTTTTTTTCTTCTCTTTTTAAAATTTGTATTTATAATTTTTCTATAACATATACATTTGGGTGGACTAGTTTTTGGACCGTTATCATAAGGTATTTTGTTAGATTAGCTTCAGATTTGGCTTCAGTACTAACAAATCTAATGTATATGCACACATATTAAATTGTATTGCTTCTTATTAAAAATATGAATTTAAAAGAGACATTTGTGAGGGGTGTACTTATATATGCTGAGCACTGTGTGTATAAATATAAATGCAGAAATGTACAGTATATTTGTGAGAAAACGCTTATTAATAATTCTAATTAAATATATATTAAAGGCAAATAAATCTAAAAATATGTGAATTTGTTTTTATTTATATACACACAATATTTATACACAGCGAGTATACAAGTATACATACGAATACAAGCTTTTATTTTGAATGTGATTAATCCCTTGAAGACTGACCTGAAGTACATGTTTTAAAACAGTCATAAATGTGCTTGTCTTTCAGACCACAACAGGCCTGGAATGTGCCGCAGTGGGAGCATTCAAGACCTTCCCATGAGGAAGTAAGTTTATTAGTTTCAGATATAACAAAAAACAGCCTGTTTAATTAAATCATTAGTCCCGTTTTCATTAAAAGTTACAAATTTACTTAGAAAATATTGCATAAAGAGTTTTTCAATAATTAACCGATTCTATCCCATGTGTTTCTGAGAGCAAATTGCCTTTTTCTGAGAAACAAATGTTACATTTCTATATATATATATATATATATATATACACACACATATTGATATAAAATTATATATATATATATATATATATATGCGTTATGGATGCGACATTTGCAGTAAAAACTCAAAACATAAATTCGCATAGAAAGTATATGTTAACATTATATTGAAACTTTTGTTTATATTTTCCTGAACAACTGACCACAAAGTTAAGAGACCAGCAAAATATCAATCTGTAAACATGTTTTGCACTTTAAATGAGGAAAATAAACATGCGTTATGGATGTGACAAAAAAAGTCTGCGGGATTACAGTACACAACATACATTGTAGAAATTCTGTGAACTAAAATGCACAACCCAAAAGAAACAATAATAATCAAAAGAATAAGAGTTAACTCGCTATAGAGCAAAAATGATTGATTTTATTGAATTTAATATTTTCTCGTTTATGAGGAAAAAAGTGTCATTTTGGATGTGACATTTCTCCGTTATGGATGTGACAGATGTAAAATTGCCACTTGTGTGACTTTGGTAAATCAAAGAGAATGAAAACATTGACAGATGCATTTTTGAGTATTTCTAAAGTACTGTAAAATACTTGCTTACACAAAAAACCCAGAAACAGATTCCGTATTTTGGTGAAAACTTAATTTTGTCATGGCAAGGTTGACATTTGCACAGAATTGTGTATATATGTGTGTGTTTGTGTGTGTGTGTGTGTACTATTTTGTGCCAGATTTCTTTTACATGCATCTTAAAATTAAACAAAAAAAAAAGTATATAGGCAGCTCACACAATAACAAATGCTGTTGTGTTATCGTGTGTTCAGGATGTTTAGAAACACAGACTCTTGAGTCTTCTTGATTGTAGACTTTGATATTTCTGAAAAGCTCTCACAATATTGAAGGTTTGTTTATTGCACTTAATTTACTTAATAATTGTGTTTAAATTGTGCCGGAGTTTAATCATGTTGTTGTATAAAACCATTAATCCACCACCGTTAAGCATATTAAGTAATAGATGAAAATAATTGTTTTAAAAAATGGTGTTCCTAAATATACTTGGGCGGCCGTTAATATACCTGGGCGGCCCTGTGTGGTAAAGTCTGTGTGGGAAGCACTGAAGTACTGCTTTAACTCTTTGCATGCCCACTTGGGAAGTTCCGGATTCTCGTTTTGTATGAAATAACAGGCACAGAACTCTGCTCTTGTTTCAGTCAGCTTTTGTCTATTTGATGTGTTCAAGCACAGCCAGCATGAGGCGACGACACAGTTGTGTTTCATTGGTGCTAGTTGTTTGCCATCAGCTTGGTGTGTTCCAGCCCTTACAAGATATCCCAAGATGTGCATAGAAACATATCTACTGAAAGAATTAAAATGGGCTTATAGGCTGATGCATTTAAAACAGCATTCACTCGTGTTTTTCTTGCTCTTACTCATTTGTCTTGCATGCGCTTGCAGCACTATGAGGAGTACGCTGAAGGCTCTTATCATGAGGACTACAGCTATAGGAGTCACACGTCTCAGGCAAACACTCACCCTCATCACCTCCAGCCCGGGACAGAGAATGCACCCTCAGCCTGGGACCCACATAATGACCAGAGCTACCAGTACCACAGTGGAGACTACGCACACTCATCTGCAGGGACGGATGGGTCTCACGCCAATGACTTCTCCACTGAAGAGCAGAGCTCATTCCCCCATAATGCTCTTCAGCATCAGCCAGGCTATCATGAAGAAGAGGCCCAGGGTCATGGAGAGCAGATCAGCATCACAAACCACATTCAGGTGAACGTCTGGAGATGATCCTGACTTTTTTTTTATTTGAAATGTGTGTCTGTTTAATAATTTGGCACCTTTTTTTTTTTTTTTTTTTTTTGAAGGTTTTTAATAATGGAGCAGCTGTGAACAAACCAACTGACCACTTTAAGGCCACTTACCAGCCACATCAACCTTCAAACCAGCCCAAGATGTTCAATCCTCAAGTGAACAATCAGAATGGCCGCTTTGATCAGCTTCAGAGGGACTTCCTGGACTCGACACAGAGTATGATACCTTTATGTTGCTCTGTTCAAAATTTAAAATAGGGTAGATTATTATTATTATTATTATTATTATTATTATTATTATTTGATTACTCTCAGTGTGTGTGTGTGTGTGTTCGTGCTTAAAAAAAGATTTAAGCAGAAAACCAATAATATTTTCCTGTAAAACTTATTTAATAATAATAATATATAATAATAATAATTATTATTATTATTATTGTTATTATTTTCACTACTATTTATTACTATAATTGTTTTATTATTAATGTTGTTATTCGTATTATTATTTTATTTAAAAAAATCACTATTCTTTATTAATATAATTATTGTTTTATTATTACTATTATTTTTTATTCATTTATTTTAATTATTATTTATTATTTGAATTATTGCTTTATTATTAATGTCGTTGTTGTTATTATTATTATTATTATTAGTATAATTTTTCTAAAAATGTTTCACTATTATTTGTTAATATAATTATTGTTTTATTATTATTATTATAATTTTTATTATTATTATTATTATTCTAATACTAAAATGCTTTGATGTTCAAATAAATTGTGAAAAACCATGGGCACCAAGGCTGCATTTTGAATAAACTTTACAACTTTACAATAAGGACTCAATAGTTAAAGGTGCTGTATGTAAGTTTTCTAACCTTTTAAAGTATACAAATACCATAATATGTTAGCAGAGAAGAATCATGCTCAGTGAACATTCTAAGTCAAATATTCTGCTTTGAAAATGTGCTTTACGTGCCGGAACGTCTTTCTTTGTTTTGGTTATTTTAACCCACCCACTGCCACTTTAGCCAATTATATTTCAGCACCCCGGGTTGCCTTGGTGGACAACCGCATACTTCATTCAGTCATGAAGGCTCTCAAAGCAGGAGTCCGCAACCGAAAATGCGACCTCCGGTGGACAGTAGCTTACTCCGAAATGAGACACAGATTCAGAGTTCCCCATGAGGTTATTATTAGCAAATTATATCAACATTACGAACATAAACATTAGGTGAGCAGGTTACATTGCTACCTCGTGTCCTAACAACACGCTACGTGACAAGATTTGCAGTAATAAGCAATTTGGCTGTTTGCAGCAGACGAAACACAACCGAAATTTAAATACAGTCATTCAGAAGCACAGAATAGTGCAGTGGTAAGGTTTATAATCTAATTAATACATATTAAACCTATTTAACATTATCAAATGTACATGCTGAATTCCTATGTTGATTTTGAGTCACAGTTCTAAACTTCAAACGGTTTATTTTGTTTTCAAGATCTGAGGAGATCTACTGCTGCGTTCAGTAGTATGGCAATAAATGTCATGTAAAATGGCATTAAAACGCGCATCATTAGCATTTAACAATGAATAAAGCACATGAGGTGTACCAAAGGTGAGCATTGTCAGCTTATCCTTTTGTTCACCAAGTAATTTCTAATATAATTTCAGGTGTTGGTTAGGATAAAAACTTCTTTCAGTATGGAAAATATTTCCTCTATCGTGTGTCGTTGCTTTTATTTTAAATGCTGTTTAAATCAACGTTAAATCAGCATTTAGGCTCGATAGTCAGGCACACTCACGCCAATCTGGCAACCTGTGCTTGCTTTGATTTGTCAGAGGAGGAGCCGAGTGAAAATGTGTTTTGATCCACGAGTGCAATACCTAGTTCAACCACTGGGTGTCAAACTTACACACTGCACCGTTAATGTATTTACTAACATGAACTAAGAATGAAATTGCTTGTACAGCATTTAATAATTGTAAGTAATGTTAATTTCAGCATTTACTAATGCATTATTAAAATCCAAAACTAATAATAATAATTCCTTACATTATATAGTGCTTTTCTAGTGCTTTACACATTGAGGGGAATCTCCTCATTTACCACTAGTGTGCAGCATCCACCTGGATGATGCGAAGGCAGCCATATTGTGCCAGATCGCACACCACACGCAAGCTGATTGGTGCAGAGTAGACAGAGTGATAAAGCCAATTATGATATGGGGATGATTAGGGGGCCATGATGGATGGAGGATAGTGAGCAAATTTGGCCAGGATGCCAGGGTGAAACCCCTACTCTTTTTCAAAGGGATTTTTAACGACCACCAAGAGTCAGGACATAGGTTTAACATTCAATTCAATTCAGCTTTATTTGTATAGCGCTTTTACAATGTAGATTGTGTCAAAGCAGCTTCACATAAATGGTCATAGTAACTGGAACAGTGTGGTTCAGGTTTTAGTGTTTCAGTTCAGTTCAGTTTAGCTCAGTTCAGTGTGATTTAATCATTACTGAGAGTTCAAACACTGAAGAGCAAATTCATCGATGCGTAGCTCTACCAATCCTGAACAATGCGAGGCAGTGGCGACAGCGGAGAGGGAAAAAAAACTTCACCTGATGGGAGTGAAGAAAAAAAACCTTGAGGGAACCAGACTCAGTTGGGCACGACCATTTTAATTTCTCCGCTGGCCAAAAGTCTTGTGCAGAGCTTCATTCGCCGTGGTTTAGGCTGGAAGATGGCCTCAGCGAAGACTCGTCTGTCCCTGGAGCGTCGCTGGAATCAGACTCATGATCTCAACTCCCTACGACCATCAGCGCAGCAGCAGCTCAGGATATGGCCTGGTCCCGCATATGGAATCCTTGGGATCATCACGTCGCTGGTCTTGGATCCAATTAGTGACTCCGCATAATCTGAGGACCTCGGGATGAGTATCCCCAGGTGAAAAATAGAGAATAAAGAGAATAATTAGCGTAGCTGCTGTTCATCGTGTAACATCTCATCCGAAATACGGCTCTCACTGAGCAGTATAGAGTCCCCTTCACTATACTGGGGCGTTAGAACTCACACAGACTGCAGGCTGAGCGCCCCCTGCTGACCCCAAAATTGTGCTTGTTAACATTAGCTTATGTACTGAATTGACTGCTTTTATTAATAATATAAATAAGCACTATAAATTAGTTGTTCGTGTACTTGAAAGTGAAGCTCTTGAGATGCTTGAAAGCGTCACATCCTTTATTTTCCTTAAAGAAAGTCTTTCATAGAGAAACTAGGAAGTTCTGGAAGTTTGAAAGTCATTGCAAGCTGTTCAGACGCTGGTGATAAAATGCTGCTTATTGCTTAAATGCTCTTACTTGTCCTCTTGAATGATGTTTGAGGAGACTGAAGCGTGTTGTGTGAATGTCGTTCAGATACAGCAGATGGTCAGCAGCTGGCGCAGCTACAGATTTTAAAGCAAGCTCAATCCAGACAGATCGACGAGCTGGAGCAGAAACTGGAGGACTGCCGGAGGAGGATGAGATATGTGGAGCATCAGTTCGCCATCGTCAAAGGTCAGATTAACCACTTTAACAAGGATTTAAACTAACTTTAACCAGTTGCATTAAAAATCTGTGTGAAAAACGGTTACAAATGTATTATATTTAGTTGTTTTAAATATTTTTTGTCCCATTTTATGTTAATGGGTCATAACTTTTCATAATATTTTCAAGATAAAAATAGTTGAATGGTACATTACTTCAATGTTTTTTTACTATTTTATTACTTAATATATGTTGTTAATTATTTTTTTTCATCAACTACAGCTAAATCAAATGCAAATAATATATTTAATATTACATATTCATATTTGAATGTCTTTACATGAAATCTGTAAGGACATACAATATAAAAATTGGCATTATTAATATAAAAACAATGAAAATCATTTTTACCACATGACTTCATAAAGCAATCCTAATGCATGGAGATCTGCATCAGTGTTCCTCTGAAAAATATGCGTTTTACTTGAATAAATATTCAGTTTTAGGTAATAATTATTTATGTTTTATTTGTTTAGGCACATGTCTCTTTGTATTTATTATTTCACTGTTATGTTCAAATACTGTATAATGTTATACATATACATACAGGCACACATACATACACGTATATATGTGCATATATAAATAAATTATGTTTTATGTAATATAAAAGACATAACATATATGACAAAACATACAGTAAAAAAATGCTAATTGACATAACATTGGTATATAAATTGGTATATAAATTCACAAAATATTAATATATATATATATATATATATATATATATATATATATATATATATATATATATATATAAATAAGTTTAAATGTATTATTTAGTATTTATTCATCCAAAAGAGTATTTTTGCATGTCATCAAAAATGAGTTTTGCTAGAAAAAGAGAAATCTGGCAGTTGTTTTTTTTTTTTTTTGTACATTTATCACTTTTATTAGTTTTTTTTTTGTATGTTCTTACACTGCAGGGGTGTTTATTTTACTCTTTTGGTGGCTATAGAGTGAAATTTGGGTAGTCTTTTCACACCATTTTTCATACTTTAAACTATTTATCCTTTTGAACTTTTTCTCTACACCACTTTGGACTGTGATTTATTTTATACTTGTGTTGTTATATTTGCTTATTGTCGGTTTTCAATTTGTTAGCACAACAGTTAATCAACTAAATTCAGCACTAGGTTAAAACAATAAAAAGATGATGAATGAAACAAAAAAAGGGTTTTTCTGAATGTCCTAAATTTGGTGTGTGTGTACTGTTTGAGCACAAAAATTTGTCACTTTTTCTCCAGATGAGAAAGACGGGCTGGCAGTTTCTCTGAAGGAGTCCAGCACACTGGTGGAAGAGGCGAAAGAAAGAGAAGCTCAGCTGCAGGCCAGAATCAGAGCTCTGGAGAAACAGATTCAGTCTCTCACAGACAGAGAGCAAGAGGTACAAGCTCATGACTTCCTCATGCACAACATCAATCACAAAAGTACAGTCATGAGGTTGAGGTAGGCCTGCCTGCACAATACGTTTAAGAATTATCGTTATCGCAGTAAAAGTAAATGCAATATCTATATCACAGGGAAGTTCAGTAAATTACATTTATTTTACTTTTACATGCCAAGCATTTGTGTGCTGCATGCATAAACTGTAAGCTGACTCAACTAAAAATGTAAAATGCACAGCTTTTTTGAGTTGAATAAACTTTTAACTCAAGTACTGCACTTGACTCGATTTAGGTTGAGACAACTTAAAAAGCTCTATAGCAGGCGTGTCCAAACTTGGTCCTGGAAGGCTGATGTCCTGCAAATTATAGCTCCAGCTTGCCTCAACACACCTGCAAGGATGCTTCTAGAAAGCCTACTAAGAGCTCGATTGGCTAGCCCAGGTGTGTCTTATTGGGGTTGGACCTAAACTTTGCTGGACACCGGCCCTCCAGGATCAGCTTTGGGCGCCCTTGCTCTATAGCAAGTTGCCTTACAAGTTTAGGTTGCGTAAATTTTTTCTTTATTTCTTTATTTATTATTTTATGTATTTTTTACAGTGTATGTTGTTTATACAAATCTGACAAGTCAGATGGGGCCTTTACTACCTTTATCCCTGCCTCTCCAGTCGTTACAGTTAGGTGAACCTATGGCTGATGCCTGATGACAGGAGACAACAGCCATTTCCATCGAGGTTTTCATTCATTCGTGGTGTTTTCAAGTCTAAATGTTTTTTTTAATTTGGATTTAATTAACTCAGAAAAATAAGTTTTTTTTAAATTGCTGTTAATTGCATTAGCATTTCGCATGTTAAATATAGTTATCGCAACACTCAACAACAATATCGCATATTTTCCCTTTATTGTGCAGCTGTAGTTTGAGGCTTCCTAAAATACAGAAGAGTGTGTGGTAAAAACACTGTAATATCTCTTCAAGTGCTGGGTTCCACACAATTGATTTGTCTTAGGACAACATGAAGGAATTAAGTTAACTTATTAATGATTACAAATGTAAGTGGATTGAACAATTAAGTTCCTCAAAAACGAGTGCAGTAGGGGAAAAATAAATGTGTGTGTCCACAGATAGTGAAGCAGCAGCGTGTGGCTGAGGCAGCGATGGACAGCATGAAGCTGCAGATGGTGGAGTTGTGCCGCTCGGACACACTCACTCGAGCACGAGAGCAGCACGACAGAGACACGGCCGCCATCCGGGAGCAGTATGAAGCTCGACTGCTCACCCTGCAGCAGAAACTGGATTCCCAGTCGGAGAGTCTAGACAAGCAGGTCAGGGACATTGATCCTGAGTGCCGATTAACCCAATGAGGCCCTAATATTCTTGCAAAGTTCATTTTTTAGCTTGGAGGTACAAAAAAAGCTAAAAAAATAAAGTTTGCTACACTGTTAGTAAACATTCCAACCAGTAGTGGGTTTAATTAGTTTTAAAGTGACTACTTGCTGTAGTTCAATTACTTTTTCGCTGAAACTGTTTATTTAATTAAGTTTTTTTAGACAATTAATTACAGTTACTTATAATGTACTTGCCTTAAAAGGGAAATGAAGCACTCGGTCAAGTTTACATTATTTTGTACATCGAGTTGTACTTTATGAATATATATTAAACAAACTCGATTAATGTAAGCATTTAGCAGAAAACGGCATGTTTTACTGTAGATTATAGACCTATGGCGACGTCATCTTGGAATATCGCTGTGTCTGACGTCACAGGGTTGGTTCTGTTCCCTCAGCTGAACAGAGACAGTGGAAGTAATGGACTGAACACTGAGACTACAAAGCCCAATTTAACCCAATGCGTTAAGTTGTGGACGTGGAGCTCCTGCTAATACAAGCATCAGATGTGTCTAATATAAAAATTAGTGGTGGGCCATTATCGGCGTTAACATGCTACGTTAACGCAAGACTCTTATCAGGCGATTAAAAAAAATATCGCTGTTAATCTCAAAGTTGGGTTGGGAGCTGGTTCTATTCTACGCAAGCCATAATGACCTTCACCTTGATATTTTAGTGCGGATGTATACCTGGCCGAATTGTATTGTAGGTGGCGAGAACGAGTATTCGAACCTGTGTGTATTCCTACTGTGAAATTACCACATCAAATGTGACGTGCTAACATGGATGCAGTTCACTAGAGTGAATCTGATAAATGTTAGCACCACATCTAACTATCAGGCACCTGTAGAGTTTATGCGTTCGAGTAAAACATATACAAATAAAATGGAGCGGGTGCGTTTTAAAATGAATGACAGTGAATGAAAGTCAAACCGGTGAGCCGTCTGACAAAACAGTGCCCTTCTGAATCAAATCAGCAGGATGCCCTTCTGGATCTTATTTCGAAGACAAACTGACTACGCTTACATGGACATTAGTAATCTAGTTATTTGCCTTTATAGACAAAAATATAATTAAAGTGTTTACGTGAAGTGCTGTCATGTAAGAGTTTCCTGTAATTTGTGAAAGTGACTTTAACTGCAGTTCGGCAGTTTCACATTCACTCATGAACATTTAATTTATGCCCCTGTGACAAACTGGGCTATTAGACCAAATAAGGAGTAAGGACTGGTGAGAGAAATTTAATAACGCACACCAAATGGAAAGAAAAAAACTTCCGCATTTTGGTGTGTGAGTGTGTGTGTGTGTGTGTGTGGTTTACTGACAGCTGCGTGTGGATCTTGTCTGAAAATATGTTGAAAAGTCCTCCATGATGGTAATAGTTTGATTGCGGTGTTTACTTCAATAATGCCACTAATATCTGCATACTCCACATGTCTTAATTCCATTTCTGTTTAGTTCAGGTATGTCTTTAGTCGAAAAATCACAGTTTGGAGCTTATGTAGGCCTACAGTTCAACATTCATGCTTAACTGAATAAACAGTTAGTAAACACAAGCACATCTTATTGAACATCATTTATTTTCATCACCAATTATCACAGTTGAACAGTTTCTCAAGCAGTTTGTGATGCATTTTGGAAACAGGAGATGAGCCCCTGGTCTAATGCGCCACCTTGCTTGAGAAACCCGTTCTCAAAGACTTACTTTTAGTCATTATTTGGGTGGCACACATATTCTGAATGCCTTCGGCAGAATTCAAATGAGCCATTTTAATCTAAATTAATCTTGATTAGTTCCAAGATTACAGTGAGATTAATCTAAATTTAACAAATAATCTATGCCCACCTATAATATAAGTATGTATTTATTCTATTTATCTTTTTTCCTCTTTAAATTACTGATCATTTGATGCGTTTTGCTTCACTCTCTGTATTACACAGCCCGACTGCCTGCCTGGGTCTCAATCCCAACTAGTTTGGCTAATTGTGTCAAACATACTCCAAACTTTTTTTGGCTGATTTTGTTCTACATCAGTTCGATCTTTAGTATTGACTTCATTCATCATTTATGAGTGGATACCGCCAATATTTTTGGCTGGACACTTTCAGTCTCATTCACTTCCATTGATCTTTAGACATAAAAAAGCTTGTTATGTTACTTCATCTTGCAAACGGATATTTTCATTGGTGTATTATTCTTATTTTTATGTGTAGTCATGAACACGCTTGTTTGTAGAGCAAGTTTGACTGTTTTCTGCCATTTATTCATCGCAGTTATTTCTCCCATGGGCAGTCAGAATTTTATAAGCAATTGTAAAACAAGCCTGTAGTATATTGGTGCTGTGTGTGTTGAAGAGGGCAGCACAGGCCTGTGGATTTACCATATGTGTGTGTGTGTGTGTGTGTGTCTCAGGCTGAGGCAGGTCAGCGGCTGCTGGATCAGGTCCGTCAGCTGGAGCGTCAGAGGGAAGAGGATCAGATGGACAGAGCCTCGGTCATCAACACCCTCACGCACCGCCTGGAGGAGAGCCAGCAGCAGTGTGCCAAACTGCTCCACACTGGTACGTGGCATCCGCAAACTTCTGTTTATGTTTACTGCTGCTGGAGCCTCATGGGTAATCAGTGAAGTGGTCCAGAAGTCTTTCCCTGGAGTAGTTCAGCTAAACTACTGTACAGTGACTGAAGCAACAAATGAGAATCTGGGGGAGGGGGGTTTCCAGTCATTTAACTTATTGGATGGTCTGCTTTTTTTTATTTTTCTTTAGATCGTCTTATGAATTTCATTAAATACTGGGCAAATCTGTGTTTATTTGGAATCTTTTAAATCTCCATTTTTTTTAAACAAAGTGATATTAATAATGGTGATAATTATGGCTGCACAATATATCCTGTGAGCATCGATATTGCAATGTGTGCGTCTGCAATAATCACATCTCAGGATATGCAATTTTGAGTTGGCATTATAGTTCTCCAAAAACCACAGGTAAGACCCACAAGGTTTGTGGAGACGCTGCAGAATTGAATCATAATAGAGTAAGAGTTTTTCATCTGCATGTGTTTTTAAGGCCTGTGACTTTGTGAGCATTTTAAGAGAGTTTAAAACATTTTCATTCATTCATTCATTCATTCATTCATTCATTTTCTTGTCGGCTTAGTCCCTTTATTAATCCAGGGTCGCCACAGCGGAATGAACCCAGCGCAACCCATCTCTGGGAAACATCCACACACACATTTACGCACACACTCATACATTACAGACAATTTAGCCTACCAGCGACTCAGTCACCTTCTTGCTGTGAGGCGACAGCACTACCTACTGCGCCACTGCTTCGCCCCTTATAAAACATTTTAGTAGTGCATAAAGAAGTCTAATATAGATTAATTTTGTACAATTATTTATATGATGAAGACTATGCAGTGTTGTTTTACATTCGAATATTCAATACCGCTTGACTCTCTTCAGAAAACCAAAATTTCACTTTATTAATTGCTCCGCTATGTTTATGACTGTAGTTTCATTCATTCATTCATTTACTTGTCGGCTTAATCCCTTTATTAATCATAAATTACATGAAAATACATTTATATTTCACTCCCCTACAAAATAATCTGAATCAATCTAAAGTAATGACTTTGCAAATAGAGCTATTTAATTCATCTGTTGAAATTGTATTTATATCTTAATATGTATCGCAGAGAAATTTTCCAATATTATGCTGCATTCGTGATAATACTGTATGTATATGTTCATTTAATTTTTAAATTATAATATAAATATAATATAGAAATTAGTGCTGGCCCAAAACTCACCTCGATTAATCACATCCAAAATAAAAGCTTGATTTGACATAATTTAAGAGTGTACACTGTATGTTTATTATGTGTATATAATCGCACCCACGCACACATGCATGCATATATTTGAGAAAATGTTTAAATATATAATATAAATTTATATGATACAAATTATATATACATTTAAATATCTATGTAACAAGATTGTTTTTGTAAAGTTTTGTTTCTATCACATATACATAATAAGTAAATATAATGCACACATATATTATTTCAAAACAAACTTTTATTTTGGATGCGATTAGTCTTTGTCCAGCACTAATAAAAATAAAGTAACTAAGAATTTATTTGTAGTTATTTAACTTATGTTCCCCTTAAAAATGAACATTTGAAAATAATTTTTAAAATAATCAAGTGTTAAATTTAGTTTAAATCTTATAGTTCATAGAATTATAATGGAAAAAAAATTATAATAAACTGTTGTTTTCATTTATTTACATTTGTTTTTACTTTTGTTACCCATAAATATTATCTTTGAGCTATTTTGTTAGTTTTTAATAGAATGTTATTTTTAAATTAATTTTATAATAATGTATATTTTAATAAAGAAATAAAAAAATCTAATTGTTTAAGTTTTTATATATTGTATATGTTATTACTATAAAATTATCTTCTTTCATTAAGCACATTAGTATCTATTAGGCTTATTTTTTATATTGTAAAGAAATTATTGTTAAAATTAAGATTTTATTTGATCTAAAAAATTAATAAAATTTGTTGTTTCTATGTTCCCCCTCAACTTGTTGTAATTATTGCTTAAAATAAAATAAATTAACATTTTGTTACATTTTCTAATAGATATCATAGTTGTTTTTTTTTCTTGTACATTTTTTTTGAATGATCCATATTCACTTCATTTGTACCCCATCATTTTCCCCAGCAGTCAGTTTACATAACACAGTTACATAATGCAGATTCACAGCATCTTTTGTTTTAAAAGTCATCATGTTCTCAGTGTCTCCTGTAATGAATGCATTGAGGAAGATCAGCCCTCCCCTGCGCCTGTTACATCTTTCTCAAAGCTTCCTTTATTCCCTCAGGCTCTGTGCAGGAGATGAGCCAGTTACAGATGAAGCTCCAGCAGGTCCAGTCCGCTCGCACCATCAGTGAAGACATCAGCAAAGCCCTGCAGGTCAGCCAGTCAACCGCTCTCTGACAGGGTCATTAAAGGGATAGATCAAACAAAAATCAAAATGTCCTGTCAATTTTCTCACCCAGAGGTAGGCATTGGGCGATAACCAGTTTCAAGGTTTACTGCGGTTTGGAAAAGTCAAGGGTTTAAAATCCCTGAAATGTTTTGTTTTACTGTTACTATGTTTTTTTTTACAACTACTTTATTTAGTTTTTTCAGGGCCAAAGTATCTCCAGCAGAAAATCTACTATTAATCTCACGATTCAGCAAACATCTGACACACGAATCGCTTATCCACCAACATGCAAGCATGCTATAGACCTTAACAGTGCAGTGGCTTACTTTATATCCAAAATAGAAGAAAGATATCCAAAGATGACTTTTCAAGTTGTAAAGAAATCACTGTTTTTAAACTGATGAAGACAGCAGAAATATATTGTGTTCATTGGGGTGGAAAGTTAACCAAACATTTAAAAAATAACTTATTTTAGAGCAGTAATCACAATACTGTGATATTTTTTTTATCCAAGGTTATCTACCCAAAGGTCATCCAAGATAATGGTGACTTTTATTTTTCCTTCAGTAGAACATTAACCTCTTAATGCCCAAGATGTTTTTTTTACATGCATTTTTTTATTTCTCTTTGGTGTTTGAGCTTATTGGAACCTAAATACAATAGAAATCTAAGTGTCATCTGTTGATATGATGTACTTTTAGAGAAAAATGATGCCCGTATATGTGGACTCGTGGTCTGAATTTACATAAATTGCTTTTTCCTAACTGTTTTTAATGCATTAATAAAACGCACATATTTTTCAACATGTTTTGACTATCAGAGAGTAAAAACAAAATTTCTTTTTTCCCATTTTGGACGGTTAAAAATAGTGTTCGGGACATTTCATATGCTGCAAAACAGTTGCAGGATGACATTGTATGTTTGTAACAAAATATAAAACATTCAAAGTGTTTTAGAAAGCCACTTAAAAGCTAAAATGTGCTGTCCATGTTTGTGATTTATAAAATGGCAGTGAATGGTTGACAGGTTTTTAGATGGAAAAATAAACGCATTAATGAGTTCAAATCAACAGCCGTGGCACATTGAGGTCTCATGAAGTGCTGAAGATGACTAGAGCTTGCACTTTTTGGACTTTCCCAGAATATAGTAGGGTTATCAAGCTGTACTGCAAACGCCCTTGCATTTTTGATACTGTTAGCAAGACGTTGTATTCTGTTATTATGGAAACAAAGATTTCCTCCGAGTTTTGACAACTGGTTGCGAGATGCAATGAGCTTCATCCACTTGGAAAAAATTAGGTTTACACTAAATGACAATACTAGGGCTTTTTTCTGAAACATGGGACCCATTTAGAATTTTTTTTCTGAGCATGTCACATGATTAGGTACTTTATAAATACCCGAGGACTCGTAATCTTTATTAAAAATCTTTAATATTTAATCGTAATCTTTATTAAAAAAGACTTTTTTAATAATTTTGGGTTATTTATTTACATTTTTTTTTATAATTTATTCATTTTATTTGCTTAACTGTTTTTATTTATTTTATTATTATTTTGTTATTATCCTGAGTAATTTTTTCTTCTTCTTCTTTCTTTAAATGATAAATGTAATTCCAACTTGTGTATAATATTTAAATAATATTTGTTTAAATTTCTCTGCAAAAATACAAGTTATATCTGAAAAGTTTAATAAATAAATAAATAAATAAAAAAAGATGATGACTAGAGCATGCTTGAACAGGATTTCAGGTGCTGCAGTTTGTTGATGAATATTGGTGATTGTGTCATCAGCTCTCGTATTTGAGTCTATCAAAAGCCACAAGACTACAATCAGACTGCCATGGCACATGATCATGCACTTGAACTGTTTGACCAGGCTGTGGATTAAACCTAATATATTATAAATAATGTTAAGAGTCTCACACGTACCAATCATTTCGCTTCACGAGACATCAGTGTGATCAGGAGCCATAGCTATTGATTTAGACATCTTGGATGACCTGTGGGTGTAAAAATAAACAGGGCGTTTTCATTTTTTGTCGAAAATGGAAATTTTATTATATGGAAATGTTTAGCTTGTGTGTTTCTTCTGTAACAGGATGAACTGAGCGAACTGAAAGAGCAGATCAATCTGTATGAGTCGGCCATTAAATGCGGAGCCCTGGAGTCTAACGGAGACTGGGAGAACCAGCTGTCTGAGTCCTACATGGATCTGGGGATCAAGAAGTCCAAGTGGAGAAATGGACGAATCCACAGGTATCGCACTGAAGTGATGCGAATGATTCATTCGGGAAAATTCCATCATCATTTACTCGTGATTCACTTATCACAAGCCTGTTTGTAATGTTTGTGCGAGTAATTAAAAATGCTCCAATTATTGTTAAAATCTAACATACACCTGGGAAACTTTAGAGCGTACTGACACTACGTACAGTTGCCTTGAACCAGGACAAAACACGCTTGTCCCCCCTCCTCTCTTCCCTGACGGCCCACACTCAACATTACATTCGGGACTGGGCACGCTTGCGTCATCGATGATGCGCTGTTTAGTATGCACGCTCGCTCAGAACAGTTGAGATTGTTTCAGTTGAAATAGTCAAAGTCAAAGTCATCCATGCCTGAGCCCAATTCAGAGCACTCACACTTCTTAAATGATCCGGGAAACGGGCCTGAGCGCGGTTCAGATAGCATAGTGTGAGTCTTAAGTAGGGGTGTGAATCTTATGGGAATCATCCAATTTCAATTCTAGAAGTCACGATTCCATTCATAATGATTCTTGACCTACATTTTTTTTCCTATTTAGCTATACAAATACATCTTTCCAACTTTACATTTTAACCACAATTACCATTTCTATGATTTTGTATATGATTTGAGTTTTTTTTTATCACAGTACTGCCATCTTAAATGATTTCATCTTGTAACAAAGTTATATTCAGCTTGAACGAGCTCTGAATTTTACACAAACTTCAGATTACAAGAGCAATTATAAAGAACAAATTATTCCAAAAAAGAGAGCATTATTTTTTTTGGCAAGGAAATGTATTAAACGCAAGAAATATTTATATAGAAATTGTGTTAGAATATTATAATGAAACTGCTTGGAGTCACAGAGAACTAGCTTTAAAATATTATGGTTCACAGTGCTTCATTTACTGCAGCACTTTCACTTTCGTTCACAGTTTCTTCATCTTTGTCCAAATGATGCTAATTCAGCAGCATACTTGCATGCGCCCGTCAACGCTTATTTTTCTGTTTGTAGCTCACGCCCGCGCAAGCTCGCATCATCACAACCTGATTTGAATACAGAAACTTTTGAGCATCGATTGTGAATTTCAATTCATCGATTAATCAAAATAATAACTGTAGTAATAATAATAATAAAAAGAAAGAAATAATAAAAAAGAATTAAGAAACTTAATCAAACATTTAATCCTTTTTAATGCTACTTTTTTTAAAGGTTCACGAAACACCAAAACACATTTTTTGAGCTGTTGACAGTCATATATGTGTCCCAAACTGCTAAAAACACCGTTAGGACACATATTTCACTAAAAAGTGAAAATTGGTTGTTTTTGCGTTATTTCGTAAAAATTCGTACTTCCGATTTGAAACAAATTTTTGAAGCTGCATCATGGTCATGAGATCTTAGCGTGTATTCCAGCTTGTAGACTGGACGTCTGTACCTGGGAGTGCCTTATTACGTCTCTGAGTGTGTTGCATTAATGCATGAGTAAGGCTTGGTTCAAACCAATCAGCGTGCTCTATTGTGCAACTTCATTAATATGCTTGAGAGTTACAGTGTTCAGACAACAGAGAGACGCCGCATTGTGTTGCTAAGCGGGAGAATAAGAATTGTTTGGAGATACGGGTCAGTAGTGTTGCTTTTATAATTTGCTGCAGTGAAGGTTTTGTTTTTATTTTCCCGCTATGAGAGTGCAGCTAGACCCACGTGTGGATTACAGTGCACGCGACGCGCCATAGAAATACGTGTCTAAGGAACGTTGTTTACCCGAGAGCTTTTGTCATCTGGAAATGGTGAAATCTGGATTTGCTGCTTGTCCCCTTTTAATAAAGACGCGGATCCAGTTTGTGTTGATTGTCCTGTCTCTACAGATTTGGTAAGTTAGCGACTAGTGGTCTTTGTTTGTTTATTCAGAGGCAAAGTTAGTTCATATGGTCAGCAGAACTCTTTCAGTGTTTAAAGACGGACCATAGTCAAATGATTTTTAAGTTAAATCATGGACTGATAAGTTTATTATGGACTGAAAAATCTGCTGTAAATGCTGCTCTCCCGAGTGTAAACATGCAAGCGCCACAATCAAGCTTACCGTTGTGGAGGATTTTCACCGACAGGAATGACACACACGGCTTTCTGATGCTACCTACCAAGTGCATCTAAGTTATAGAGAAATGCGGAGGTTTTTTTTCTCTCATTCGCTGTGCGGTAACAAACATTGCATGAAAAATACACACTTCCAGCAATTCCTCAAATTAAGTATCTCGTTTGTCACGAGGGGCTTGAAAGAAATTGCTGAATGAAAGAGCCAAACTGCAGTTAAAGATTGTTTTGCCTCTGTGAAAATCAAATCCAAATTGACACTCCCATTTTTATGCAAATCTTTACGGACCATGCCTTTTTTTTCCTACTCCCCCCCCCCAAACAGAGCTGGACATGGCCACTTTCATGACCTTTACCAAAGTAGAGGTGTGAAAAAACCCTGCTGAAATAGATGTGTTTCATGGCCCTTTAAAGACTTAAAACGATGCATAATCAAAGCTAAAAAAAACAAACAATCAAAATGAAATAATTAGTCAATAATTAAAAAAATATCAACATCTGAAATTAAAATACTCTCCTCTTCTGTTTTTGGTAACTGTGGTAAAGTCAGGATATTTTTAGGACACCCCTTGAGTGCCTGGCCTGACGTCATTTTAATTAATTCAGTTTTTTCCCTGTGATATCAAAGCATGGTCAATTTAATGTGCTAACTACACTAACTATAACTGGTGTGTTCCAGCACACCTCATATTTCAGACTCGAACTTGAAGGAGGACGTGGTGCGCGAGCTGAAGAATGAGCTGCAGCGATGCTTGAGTCACTTGAAGAGCAAACGGCTGAAGATCTCCGAGCTGCAGGAGGAACTGAGACGCTCACAAAGCAGAATTGAGACACTGGAGACACGCATACAGCAGGCTGACAGGACCATACGGGACTCTCAGGTCAGACTGCTGACGCTGGGCCTGTGTGTCTGTGTGTTTGATCTGCTGCTGTAGATGCTGGACTCACATGTTCTGTGTTTGCTGCAGGTGAGGGAGAGCAGTTTGGAGAAACAGCTGGAGGAGTCTCAAGTCACAGCTGGCCCTCAGGAAGAACTCAGCAGACTGCAGGAGAGACTGGAGGTCTGGATACATTTGAGAAATAAAAAATTAAATGCATTTATGTGCATTTATGTCCCCGTAAACTATAACATATTTTATTATTCTTATAAGAAATGGAAAACTAAATACAGGAAAACAAAAATTTCCAAACATTTGAAATACATATTTTTTAATAGGTCTTTTTAATCAACATTAATTAGAAAAAAAGAATTAAGGAAACAAAACAAACATTTGATATGTTGTACTTCTTTTTATTGAATGAAACAACATGCAATCAGTATTGAATAAGAAAATTGTCCATAATTAATTATATTAACCTGTACAATAAGTTTAGGGAAGCAATGCCATAACGTAGATAAAATGTATAAAATAACCCTAACTGCTTAAACTAATTGAAATTAAGTTCAATATTTATTAATATTGTTGTTGTTGTTGTTGTTATTTTATTTATTTGACTAAGTTAAATTACTTATTATAATTAATATTTTATTCCATTTGACATTAGGTTGAATTTGTTTATTATTATTATTTTTATTTTAATTTAAATGTTAAATGTTTAATTACTTATTAATATTATTATTATTATTGTTATTTTATTTAGTTGACAGTTAAATTACTTATTATTTTTATTTTTATTGTTATTATTATTATTAATATTATTATTATTTTATTTTAAAATTGTTAAATTACAAAATTGTATTTTATTATTATTATTATTATTACTATTTTTTAAATTGTTAAATCACAAATTTGTATTATTATTATTATATTTATTTTATTTATTTGACATTAAGTTAAGTTACATATTAATATTATTTATTATTATTATTATATTTATTTAAAATTAAGTCAAATTGCTTCTTATTAGTTTATTTATTTGACTAAGTTAAGTTACATACTATTATTATTATTATTAATATAATTTTTTTATTTGACATTAAATTAAGTTGCATATTATTAGTAGTATTTTATTGTTTTGACAGTTAAATTACTTTATTATTATTATTATTATTATTATTATTATTATTATATTTTGAAATGGTTAAATTACAAATTTTTATTATTATTATTTTATTGTTATATTTATTTGAAATTAAGTTAAATTACTTATTATTATTATTATCATTTTATTTATTTGACATTAAGTTAAGTTACATATTATTATTATTATCATTATTATTATTATTATTATTATTATTATTATTATTGTTATTATTATATTCCTTTGACATTAGATTAATTTACATATTATTATTGTTATTATTACTATTTTTTTAATTGTTAAATTACAAATTTGTATTATTATATATTTTTATTTATTTGACATTAAGTTAAGTTACATATTATTATTATTATTATTATTATTATACCATTGTTTTATTTATTTTACTAATTAAAATTAATAATAATTATTATTATTATTATTAATTTATTTAAATATATATTTATTACCAAAACAAAGTTATAAAGAACATACAGAAGCTAATTAAACAATACGTTTGTAGATTAACCTATACCAAAAGAATAATGCAAGATGATAGTAAATTGATCCGCTCTGGTCTTTTGTTTCAAAAGTCGGTGTTGGGTGACCAGCCATCATCATCATTATCTGTATTATGAACTGCAGGTTCTGGAGAAGAGGAATCAGGAGCTGAAGCAAAGTGAAGACAAACTAAAAGCAGTGAACTCTGAACTCTGCACCAAGATGAGGGAGATGATCCAGGAGCTGGACCAGGAGAAACAGGAGGCAGCAGAGAGGTCACAAACTTCGTAATGCTGATAGAGCACGACTAATATAGTGATGCTTCCTCTGTGGCTGCTCAACTTCTGTGTGTGTTTGTGTGTGTCTGCGCTTGTGTGTGTTGTTTGTTCGTGCGTGTGTCTGTATTTGTGTGCGTGTGTGTGCAGGAATGAGAGGACTCAGCAGCAGTTCAGAGATGATGTGGTGAACGGTGTCCGTGAGCAGCTCACACAGGAACACACAGCTCACATCCAGCAGCTCAGCAGCCAACATCAACAACAAATCCAACAGCTCCAGTACTGCACCTTCACACACATACGCTCACCTTCAATATACACTCATAATCAACATGCACACATGCTCACCTTCAATATATATACTCATAACAAACACGCACATGGCCACTTCAAAATACAGTCCATAATTATTTCCTATTTAATCTTTTAAAGTGTATTTGAGGACTATTCAGATTTCTGTATCAGTGGTCATTCATTAGCAGCAAGTATCAGTATTTTTAAACATGAACATTGTCATGTTAATCTTTCCTACGGGGCGTCGCGGTGGCACAGTGGGTAGCACAATCGTCTCACAGCAAGAAGGTTGCTGGTTCGAGCCCCAGCTGGATCAGTTGGCATTTCTGTGTGGAGTTTGCATGTTCTCCCCCTGTTCGCGTGGGTTTCCTCCGGTTCCCCCCCTCAGTCCAAACGCATGCACTATAGATGAATTGGATAAGTTAAATTGGCTGTAGTGTATGTGTGTGAATGAGTGTGTGTGGGTGTTTTCCAGTGTTGGGTTGTAGCTGGAAGAGCATCCGCTACGAAAAACATATGCTAGATAAGTTGGCTGTTGATTCCGCTGAGGCGACCCCTGATTAAAAAAGAGACTAAGCCGAAAAGGAAATGAATGAATGAAACTTTCCTAAGACATTGAAAATTCTATGACTGTTTACTATGAGTGTAACGGATCACGGTTAATCCGTGATTCGTACGGATCACAACCCGCGGTTCAGAACACACATGACTCTCATACTAATACATTTTTTGCTTGTAGATTAATTCAAAAGTTTTAACGAACATATAGAGATCCGTGTCACGTCATTCAAATCACACTTATTTAAAGCACTTAGTCTTCCCTGTAAAATGTAATGATGGCGGAAGAAGTTGTGGTAGGTTATTGGGGATGTGGTGGGTTTCTTCGGTTATTAAAGGTGTTTTCTGTCACTACTTGTTTAGCATTAATGCATTCAATGTAAGCTGCACGATTAATCATTAAAAGATCGGGATCTCAACACCCACACAACATAAATTATAAATGATGGTGTTTTGCATTTGTTTATTATTTCTTTGAATCGCTGCATTCAAATCTGTGTTTGAAAATGCAAAAATCAAGAGATTCAGTCTTTAGTTTACAAACAGTAAAATAAAACAGAAGTACGGGGACAGTTTATAGTTTAGATAAAACCACTGATGTTATGGTAAAGATTTAAATCACCGTCATATGCATTTAACTTGACACTCAAATGACAGTTGTAGGCAGCAATTCCATTATTTAACCTGTAGGTGGAGACAGCTTCCCGTCAGAAATATGCCACTGAACAATTCTTCAAAAATAAGTTTTAAAATAAATAAGGGTTGTAAATTATAATGTTAGATTTCTACATTTAGCGTTATCAGCAACAGTAGCAGTAACAGTGAAGTTTTCACAGTACTGAATATTTTACCGTTTATTTTTATTTAGCTGATTGTTTCTTCATCTTATTTGTAATAAATTTACAGCTTCTAAGTTCTGTTTGCTTAAACCAAAAGTGTCTTGCAGAGCTGTTTTTGCAATAAATGGAAAGCAAATTACATCTGTCTTCTCCCCTTTTTGTCTGATCAGTACTAAAATGTAAAATCTGCTAATGCCATCCATTATACCACTTATACCCACAGAAGCCTAATTGCACCACACGTTCACTTGTTACCTACAAAAAGCAATCTGTCAGTTCATGATAGATTATGACATTCATTACCATCCACAGGTCAAAGCTGACGGATCTCAGTCAGGAAGTGTTAGCGGTACAGGAATGCTACCTTGCGGTTTGCAAAGAGAAGGACAAGTTGGAGGAAAATCTCCACAACAAACTTGAAGAAGAGAGGACATCGAAAGAAAAGGAGGTCAGGACTTCTGACCTATTCATTTTTATTTATTTAATGATTGTTTGCTTTGTTCATTTAATTGTTTTTGTTTGTACTTTTTTTATTTTAATTCATTTAAATTATTTTTTTTACTAAACTAAAAATAGTTTGTTTCATTGTTTTTGTAATATATGTATATTTTTGTTTAATTTAATTACTTAATTGAATCTAAATGTGATAGAATTTTAAAATAATAATTAATCATTTAATAATAATAATAATAATAATAATGATTAATTAATTGTATTTATTCATTATTAATATTTTTATATATTTATATTAATATTTTTAATAAGTTATTTTTACTTTTCAATATTATAAATTTGACATTTATTTGTTTAATATATTCAAATTAAAGTAATTATTTAAGTAATTGTAATTTTCAAAGTAATTTAAACCAATTGCACTTCCACCTTATTTAATGATTTGCTTTTTTAATTCATTTAATTGCTATTATTTTTTCATTTTATCATTTAATTCTTTATACATGTTAATTCCAAAAGATTTTTAGGATTACATTTATAAATAGAAATTTTAATTTAAGATTTTACTCTGTTTACACACCTTTCCTTGAACTCTTAACTATTCATTTAGTTAGTTAATTGTTTTATATTTGTTTAATATATTCAAATTACTTCTAGTAATTAGCTATTTAAATTAATTCATTATTTTAGTATAAATATACTTTTTAAACAAAATACATTTCCAGCTTATTTAACAATTAATAATTATTTTTATGTAATAATGTAATTGTTTATGTATGATTTTGATCAATTGAAATTGATAAATTAATATATTTATTTATATTTAATAATAAACAAAAAACGATTTATATATTCCAATAGCTATTACACATTTTGTATTATTTTACATACCTCAGCTTTAACCATTTTAATTATCTAGCTAATTAGTTAATTGGGTAACATTTTAGAATAATTATCCGTTAGTTAATGTATTTACTAACATTATCTAAGTATAAATAATCTTATTCAGCATCTATTAATCATAGTCCAACATTTTCTAATGCATTAAAATCCAAGGTTTTGTGTTAACATTAGTTAATAAACCATGAGATAACATGATCTAAAGTTATTTAATGGTCCCGTGGAAGAGCTGGCAGGACGAGCAGGAGACGGTTAGTGATGATCTTCAAAAATCCTTAGCTTATACTCCAAGCCAAGACGGCAGGATCTTACTGAATGTGTCAAATATTTTGCATGAAATTATAATTGGTCAAATTTCAGACATGTTTGTATTCATTATTAAACAACACAATAGTAATGTTTTAATTTCAGAAGAGTTCAATATTTGTTGGAGTACAACATTGTATTTTTTATGCTGACCAATTACTGCATTTTCTGCAAAACAACATGCTCTGCTTAACAGTAGTTTTATTGAATATTTTATCAGACAATTATATAAAATAAAACAAACATTTTTACTCACACTAATACACTTTCTTTATTAAATAAATGTAACCCTGGTGAGCAACTTAGACTTAATTCAAATACATAAAATCTTCATTACTCCTCACAGTGGTCTATGATTTCAACTATTTAATTTCAAAAACATACTCAAAAGCAAAAGCTTGCTGAATTCTCATCCCCAAAAATATCAAGCTATTATTTTTGTGAGTTTTAAATGCACAATATGTAAGATTAAGATTTAGCCTCAATAAAATATTAGTTATAAAGCAGAGGTCGCGTTTTTTTCAGCAGTGACGGAAAAATCTGAAGGTGATCCGTCATTTTGACGAATTATGTTGAGGATGATCTATTGTAATTTGTAGCTAACTGTAATTCCCACTCTTGTCCGGCTGATGGCGATTGTCCTTGTTTTGTCTCCTCTTTGTCACCGCTGCGTACAGTTGCAAAAATGTCACAGCAGCTGAGTGTGAGAAGTTTCTTTAAACGTCCAAATAGTTGCAATATTAATAATAAAATTGAAAAAAAGAGGAAGTGATGCAGTGGACGATGGAAGAACAAACAGACAAAAATCCTCAGTCGCCGACAGCTGTTACGAGCCAACCAAGGAGGCCAGGTGCTTTGGAGTTCGTTGTGAGCACTAACGAACGCTGAGGGGTGCAGCCGCGCCCCTGGTGCAGAAGGAGCGTGTGCTGTTGTATTTTTTCCTGGCGAAACGAGTGTTTGCAGTATCGGGAAATCCCACATTCAGAGAATCCAGCAAACTTAGTTCTGATCACAGCCTTAGGAGAAATGTTTACTAACTACAAAACGCTGACTGAAGTGGCTCCTGTAATTCCGGTCTTTGGTCACGAAAAGTCGACTTTCCGAGGCAAAGAAAGAGTTTAATGACAACTGCCTCTGCATCAGTCTCCCTTGATGCGTTTGATTACGCACAGGCAAGCACCCAGTTCAGGTCGACGCAGGAGGAAGATATGAGTTAAGGCAGATAGGAGTTTTTGTTCATTTGTCAAGTAAATAAATGAATAATTTAACCTATTTGCTCGTCGTTCAAGTTCATGATAAAAATATGAATGAAAAAAGGGATTAGAAAGTCTGCAAATTAAATAACGATCAATAATAAGATATGATTACATTTTTACAACCCTCTCCGTCAAAATGACAGACAATAAGAAAGTCTAACGTGAACTTTTCTATAAAGATAATATATCGTATAAGTAAGGGATAGTCAATGGCTTGACGTGCGTTAAAGAATTTTAATGCACGACGTAGAGGTTAACGCAAAGTGCATTAAAATCCTTAAACACTGCCTGAAGCACTGCCTGAAGCTTCCAACATTTTTAAACACGCGCTTTTCTTATACATAAACTGCCGATTTGACTTTAAAATAATTATATTCTCGCTTGAAAAACTCTTGAACTTAATTTTGTGGCATAATTTATGAGTATTTTCCTAATTTTGTGGATTCCCGTCCGCCATAAACAGTCCTAATCTGTTTCCTGTGCAGCGCATGCGAGTTGCTATGGTAATTTTAAACGTTTGGGAGAAGCACGTTTATTTCGAGCTGTGATCAAAACTGACTGGAACTACCTGTGCGTTTCAACGAAAATAATGCACACCATCCAGCCAATCAGAGTCAAGAATTTCACCAGACCATGGAATAAGATTATATATATAAATAAATATGAGTAATAAACCACTGGAACAGTGCTCTATATTTTGTTGTATTTGCATTGTTCCAAATGTTTCAAAGAATGTTCAAATCTAGAGAAATAAGCAATTTTAATGAGTAATTGACACCCTCAGTTTCAGGTTTAGTTTATATAGAAAACAGGGAAATGCTTTAATATGTTGTGTGTGTTATATAAGACTATGAGTTTCAGCTTTTTATTCTACATAGTATGTATCTGTCTTTTTTTCTGTGTATTCCTGATCTCAGCGGCTTCAGAAGTCTGAGGAGGAGGAGGTGAGGAAGGCCAGGCAGTTGGACACTTGTGAGGGAGCGTGCCAGACCAGTTCCTCTGAGACGGCGGGTCGGCTGATTTCAGAGGAGGAGCTGGAGGTCCAACTTGGTGCTCAGAGAGACACGCTGCTGCGAGAGGCTGCGGCAGCACAAAGCAGAGCCGTGGAGGAGGCTGTGCGGCATGCGGAGAGAGAGATGCTGGAGAAACACACTGAGGACATCACAACTCAGGTGACTCGATTACTAGAACAGTATTATGTATTTTGCTGACTTATGTATTTGCATTATTCCAAATGTTTCGAAGAATTTAGATAAAATCTAGAGAAATAAGCTATTTTAACTTGTAATTAACACTTTTGCTGTTTCCCGGATTGCTATAAAACCAAACCAGAAATCGAAGATGATTTAATATGTTGTGTGTTTTATTAGACTGCACATAGCAGCATTATAATAGAAGCCTGAAATGTATTTATTCTGATAAATCAGAGCGGCTTTTTCTCAATAATTATGAGCAGAAAAACTGGACTGTGTCATAATAAAAGCTCCTGAAGTCTGGACAGTGGCATAATAAAAGCTCTGCTGCTTTTTTCCCATGTCATGCTCGTCTATCCTCAGCAGCTGCTTTAGCGTTTCTCTCAATTCACTGCTGCAGCTTGCAGTCTTACTCCACTTAAACTACCCTTGTTGAATACTTTAGCTCATCCATCAACATGATTTCTGCAGTTCTTTATGATCTAATGAAGACTACAACTCCCATGATTCCACACTCAGTCATGCAGTCATAAAAATGCGGCTTTGTTTGTTGTGACTATGTGCCCTCTAGTGGTGAAAATGACACACTGTGCCTTCTATAATCATTAATAATAATAATAATTTCTGTCTCTAGGTCGAAGGTGCGATATCGAGGGCTCGTTCTCGATGGCTCCAGGACTTGACTTCCCTTCCAGAATACAAAAGCAGCCTGCAGACAGAGAAGGCTGAATGGGAGAGACTTCAACAGCAGCACGTCCAGGAACAGGTGATTCTTGTTTAGATTGCTGGAAACAGGGCTGGGTCTGGATTCAGAATCTTGATTCAATTCGATTCAGAGTCAACATATAAGCATCATATTAGCAAGTCAACATATAAGCCATGTGTTTGACCATGCAAGATGCAATAAGCCACAAAAGTCAAGTAAATTCAGCTCTCACAATCTTCAGGTTGCTTTCACAAACCTTCACAAATCTTCAGGTTGTCTTTTTCATAGTTGAAGGCAAAATTATTTGTTAAATATTTCCCAAGCGATGTTTAACGGAGTAAGGAATTTTTTACAGTACTTCCAACATTTTTGTTGAACGTTTCTTTTTGTTTGGCTGGAATCTAATTTTTACATTTAAAATGCAATACAGGAAAATATAGGAATATAAAAAAATGAAATATGAAATTAATAATAAATGTTATTAAATATAAATATAAAAAGTTTAAAACAAAATGAAAATATAAAAAATAAATTTATATTGTATATAATAATAATAATAATAATGAATTTAATTTATAATGCACTTTTCTAAAACCCAAAGCGCTTACAAGAAAGTAAAAACAAAAAAGCACAGTAAAAATAAAAGAGATATCACAAATTAAAAACAGTCCTAAAAAGATGAGTTTTAAGCAGCTTCTTAAAACAGTCCAAGGAACCAGCATTCCTAATGTTAGTAGGAAGAGCATTCCACAGTTTGGGTGCATGGACAGAGAACGCCCAACCTCCCATGGTGCCGAGTTTGCAGCTAGGCTTAAACAGCGTAGGACCCGAGGCAGAGTGTAGACAGCGAGAGGCAGAGGAAATGGATATCAAGTCACAAATGTAAGCTGGAGCAGAACCATGAACCGCTTTTTATGTTAAAATCAATGTCTTAAAATCAATACGAGAATTGACGGAGTTAAGAAGTGATGTGGTGTCAAATGATGTAGGTGACAAAATGCGTGCAGCAGAATTTTGGATGTATTGTAAAATATTGAGAGAATTAGCTGGTAACCCTTCGAACAGAGAATTGCAAAAATCCAAGCAAGACGTGATAAAAGCATGGGCAAGTGTTTCAGCGTCAGGCCTTGACAGGAAAGGATGTAAGCGGGCTATATGTCGAAGATGATAAAAGGCTGTTTTGGTTAAATGTTTATAATAAGGCTTCAGACTAAGCTGAAGATAAGCACCTGCGGAGATGGTGGTTAGACAGACCCATCAACTGGTAACTGAAATTCACTACACCTCTTGATGTAAGATATATTCACAGCTTTAGAGAATACATATTGAATCAATGACATAAAAAACACGTAAATATTATATACTATATTTATACTGTAACAATGGCTAGATGTGGGACAACGGAGTTGAGGATCAAATAGCAGTTTATTAATAGAATTGTCTTGCAAGCAAACGTCGAAACAAGAACAAACAGGTGCATACAGATAGTCCAAAGTGTGGTGAATAAACAGGCGCATGGTCGGTGCAGGCGGCAAACAATGTTAACAAAGAAACAAAGCAAAGGGACAAGGCCAGGGAAAATGTGTCGTAATGCTCACTTAACAGTTTAACAAGACTCCGCAACGATGTTCCTGTGTGTGCTGAGTTTATAGTCCTTGAAATCAGTCCATAATGATCTTCCGGCTATGTGTGCGTAATCACTTGGAATCAGGAACCAGTGTGTGCGAGGTGCATACTGGGAGTTTTAGTTTGTTAATGTGGCGTGGATTTCTCCAGTGATCCCCAGCCGCTGAATTGCTGGTGATCGTAACAATAACACTTGATTTGCCCAGCCTAATTAATTAATTAATTTCTCCATATGTACATTTTACTTGCACAACATGATGGATGTCAAAACCAATAAGTTTTAGTTAACTTTTGACTGAACCCTAATTGGTACTGAAATCTGTGCTTTCGGGTTCCACATGCTCAACGCTCTTCTCTTAATGGCAGGTCTCTTCAGCGGTGAAGTCAGCGGAGGAGCGGTGGCAGGACACACTCCGCTCTAAATGCAGTGAGCTGGAGGATGGAAACAGGAGATTAGAGGAGCTCCAGGAAGAAGTTCTGACCCTCAGTGCTGAGCTGGAGCGCTCGAGTCAGGAGCGGGACGCCCTCGTCAAAGCAGAGCTGGCTGCAGCCCGAGACGCCTGGATCAGGGACAAGCAGGAGGACATGTCCCGCCTCAGGGTGCAGCTCCAGAGAGAGCACAAGCACAAACTACAAGCTGTCCTGGAGCAGAACCTGGAGCAAACTGGCAAGCAGAGAGAGACGGAGCTGCAGAGAGTCATCAGAGAGAAGGAGCAGGAGTGGAGCGGCGAACAGGAGAGCAGGTTACAATCATCCTAATTAAAACGGCAACACAAGCTTTAACAAACACTTTTGAATTTATATTCCCTGGAATTTTAAATTTAGTTTGTTATTGTTTTTGTGATTTATTTTTTTTATTTTATTTTATTTATTTTTTTATATTTTTTAAAAATCTTTTTCATACTAGCACTAATTCAGGGTGTCCACAAGCTCTTAATAAGTATTAAAAGTTGATAAATCAATGTAGAGAAATGAAAGGCCCTTAAAAAGTATTAAAACGTCTTCAATGCTATTTTGCAAGGTATTAAACTCTATATCATTTTTGATTATGCAGTGTATGGTGTATGCTAAAGTGTGCCTGAATTAAATCTCTTATCAGGATGCTGTGTAGTTTATAAAATCAATGAAATCCTACTAGATTTAACATCAGGCTGCTTTGTTTACTGCATTAATCAAGGCAGCACCCTTAATTTCTGCAGTTCTATTGGCGCCGACCTGCTGAATTAGCTAGATTTAATAGATTTGTATTCAGTAAATGTATAATCTTTTAGTTTTGGATTAGTTTCCTACATTAACATTTATAAGTTAATATACTGCGAGTTAAAAGCTCGCCAGTGTTTCAGGTTGAAAAGTGGTTTTAAGGTCCTAAATGAATGGACAGAGTCTTAAAAAAGGTATTGAATTTTACTCTGACTTCTGTATATACTCTGTAATTAGTTTTTTTTTTTCATATTTCTAACAGGTAATTATTTTAGTATTTTAAGTTAAAATATTAATACAAATATTACTTTATACACATTTATATAAATACTTTTATATTAAACGTTATTAATAGAAACGTTTTAGGAAACGTTATATTTTAGGAAACTTTATTAGGTACACCTTACTGGTACCAGGTTGCACTTCTTTTGCCTTCAGAACTGCCTTAATCCTTCTTGGTATAGATTCAACAAGGTACCGGAAATACGCAGTTGCTACAGATTTGTCTTTTGGACATCCATGATGTGAATCTCCCGTTTCACCACATCCCAAAGGTGCTCTATTGAATTGAGATCTGGTGACTGTGGAGGCCATTTGAGTCCAGTGAACTCATTGTGATGTTCAAGAAACCAGTCTGAGATGATTGGTGCTTACTGACATGGTGTGTTATCCTGCTGGAAGTAGCCATCAGAAGATGGGTACACTGTGGTCATAAAAAGATTGATATGGTCAGCAACAATACTCGGGTAGGCTGTGGTGTTGACACGATGCTCAATTGGTACTAATGGACCCAAAGTGTGCCATGAAAATATCCCTCAAACCATTACACCATCACCAGCAGCCTGAACTGTTCACACAAATCAGGATGGATCCATGGTTTATGTTGTTGATGTCAAATTCTGACCCTATACCATTCAAATGTGGCAGCGGAAATTGAGACTCATCAGACCTGGCAACGTTTTCCCAATCTTCTAATGTCCAATTTTGGTGAGCCTGTGTGAATTGTAGCCTCAATTTCCTGTTCTTAGTTGACAGGAGTGGCACCCGGTGTGGTGTTCTGCTGCTGTAGCCCATCTGCCTCAAGGTTGGACGTGTTGTGTGTTCAGTTTCTATCAGCTGGAACCAGTCTGGCCATTCTCCTCTGACCTCCGGCCTCACAGAACTGCCGCTCACTGGATTTTTTCACTTTTTTGGTGGTAGTGTGGTGTGGAGAGACCCCCCCCCCATGATTGTGAAGCGCTTTGGGTATATGGCCATACACAATAAATGCGCTATATAAATCCACACATTACATAACATTACATTCTGATGCTCGGTTTGAACTGCAGCAGTTGGTTTTGACCATGTCTACATGCCTAATTGCACTGAGTTGCTGCCATGTAGATTAGAAAAAATGTGCTAACAAGCAGATGGACAGGTGTACCTAATAAAGTGACCGGTTAGGGTACATTATAAACATTATTTTATCATTACATATATAGCTGTTATGTTGTAACATATATTGATATATTGATTTTGGGGTTTTATTTACATACAATTACTAAATACTATTTTATGTACTGCAAGATAAAATAAAAATCTCATCCTCAGATTGGCTGTTTTTAGATCTGCTGTCAGGGTGGAGGTTTCACAATAGATTTCGAAAACTCTATTAAGCGTACTTTTATACCTGTTTATAACTTTTTAAACTTTTGCAGCTTTTAAAGGGTTTATTTTTTCCAGTGTCTTGGCGCTGTGTCCTGAGATACAGACCCCCCTGTCTTAATAAGGATGTCATTATTATTAGTTTTTTACTTTCTGCTTTCCCTGATGTCACATTATTGCATTTGTTTGATTCTGGGTGATTTTTATATTCATGTATGCTGCCAGTGTAAAACTTTAATCAAAGGTTTTCTTTTTTTTTTTTTTTTTTTTAAGTCTCGAACGGTTTGTTTTGTACCATGCCCTGTGCTTGGTGTTCTCATGTGGTTTTCCAGTGACTAACCTTTCAATTTTTGACACCGGTATCTAAACTTAATCACACACCATGTCTATCTAGACGTTTTGATTTTTCCACTGCTACTGTAGGTCTTTCACTGATGTTCGTTTATCACAGCTTCATGATGTTTCTGGTTTGAAATCTTGTTTTTTTTATCTGATATAAATAGGAATGTGCCTCTCATGTACTTGAGATCCAATCAGTCAAAACTCGGGTATAAAGTGGGGGTTAGACTCTTTCTGAATATGTGGTGTTTTAAAGGCCTGTTGTTTTTCAGACTGCAAGAGGAGAGGCAGAAGCTGCTGGAGGAGCTGCTACAGGACCTGAAGGAGGCGCTGCAGGAGGGAGAGGAGAGGAGAGAGAGTCCTGAGGATACAGAAACCACCAGATCCAGAGTCTGGGAGATCTGCAGACAATCACTCAGCCAGGCCAAGCAGGAGTGGGAGAAGGTGAGCAAAACTGGCCGTTACATGCTACGGTAATGCTAAAAATTTCCGGTTCAGGGATACATTGAAACTAAAGCTGCCAGTATGTGGCAGCTAGTACAATTTTTTTTACGTCTAGTGGTTCCAAACCTCTATGAGTTTCTTTTCTTCACACAAAAGAAGATATTTTGAAAAGACCTTTAACCACTGACATTCATTTTAGGAAAGTCTAAAACTATGGAAGTCAATGGTTACGGATTTTCAACCTTCTTTAAAATATCAATGTAATGAAGTATATTCAGCCATCTTAAGCCATCAGGATGAAGATGGAGAGCTCACTAATTATGAACGATTTTAATACTGAAAATAAACACAGACGATATGGCGGCAGCCCCTCACAGATGATTTCTGCCAAACTGAAAGCTAAACCAAACACAAGCTCCAATCCTGGGCCTTGTTTCAGAAAGGAGGTTAAGTGAGAACTCAGAGTATGTTAACCCTGAAATGAGAGAAACTCTGGGTTTTCAGTTTCAAAATGGCAGGTTTGTAAATTTTTTATTTTTATTTTCATATTTTTCATATGACACATGTTCAAGTTATAGCTCAAATGAAAGCTCTTGCCGGTGCTCATACAGTGTAGCATTCTTTTTACTGAATTATATTCACATATCAAACAGTTGCCGAATGAATCGCGGTGTTTCCATGGCGCAGAAGTGGAAACAATACATTTATGATCAATAAGCAGCCCCAGATAGCACAGACAGCTGTCATCTCTTACTTTATGCTGTACGCTTCAGGGCCATTCTCCTCTGTTTTTGAGGTGATGTGCATAAGTAATCCTTTTATTTGTTTAACATGGTCCAAACACAGTGAATTATGTTTGATCAAACAAAAGAATAGTGAAATATGAAAACAATGATCGATCCCTGTGACAGCACCTCTCATCAGTTGGAATAAAATAACTTTTGCATAGATTATGGTAGAGACATTTTCTTTTTCCTATGATTACAGACATGTGCAGGAACCACCAAAATTAATTACAGCAAACTAGACCACACAGAACCTAAAAGGTACACTTTTATATTTGAGTTTATAAAACAAAAATACAAAAAGCGCCTCTTTTTTCAGGTGTTTATTATAACACAGAAAACATATACAGTTATTTTAAACACTTTCAATAGTGTTTTATGAAAATTCAAAGGGTTTTCTTTAAAATGATACCAAAATTTTGCTGTTACACCTCTGCATGCGAATTTGGGAAGCTTTTAAATTTGGGTAGGCAAAATCCAGGCGGAAATCCCAAAATAAAAGCAGAGTTTAACTGGTTAAATCTAAAAACTGAATTAGGCGACAAAAATAAATGAGGAAAATAAGAACCGAGATCTTTAATGTACACGACACCCGAACTAATTAAACTCAAAATTACACAGGTGGCAAAACACCCAATCTAATCTAACAAAAAATCCATCTTAACTAAAACAAATCTAACAAGATGGTCGAAGGCTCAGTTTAGAATCACACAAAAAACATCACATTATTTTACTTATGGCCAACGAAGTTCAACAAGCAAACTCGAATTAACACAGTAAAATGAGATAATAAATCACTAAACAGCCGAAGCATGTCAAAAACAAATTGCGTGGAGCACAAAAGATACGCTAAGGCAGAGGGCACAACACACACTTGTCTGTCGGGGCTTTACATGCCTGTGGCTCGTCAGGGGATTAGTGGAACAGACACTGTCATGATGATGATGATGGACAGATGCTGAACCAATAAGAAACCCAAGAGTTGAGTAAGCAGAGAGGAGGGTGAGACAAATAAATACACAAAGTAAGAAAACTAACTTCAAACATAACAATGTCCCAAATATTATCCTTGCCCAACAACCACACATCATAGAAAGCAAATTTATTGAGCGCTCCATTCTCCAGAGAAACACACTGAAGTTTTTTTTTGTTACTCTTCCACCTCAGAGCAGTGAAGATAAGCTGAGACGTGTGCTGAAGGAAGCCCAGGAGCGTCACGAGGCAGAGATCGGTAAAACTCGCCTCACACACACACACACACACACACACACACACACACACACACACACACACACACAACAACAGACTCTTCCCATCCTCACGGCTCTTTACCCTCAGCAGGTCTGAGGAAGCAGAGTGAATGTGGATCTCCTGCATGTGCTGAGGCTCTTTCCAAACTCCAGAAGAAGAACCAAGATCTCCAGCGGCATCTGGAAAAGGCCTGTCGTCAGCTGCAGAGGAGCGTACGAGAACACAAAAACACCCTGCAGAGAATAAAAGGTGCTGCTTATTTCATTCATTCATTTTCTTGTCGGCTTAGTCCCTTTATTAATCCGGGGTCGCCACAGCAGAATAAACCGCCAACTTATGCAGCAAGTTTTTACGCAGCGGATGCCCTTCCAGCTGCAACCCATCTCAACATTCACACACACACTCGTACACTACGGACAATTTACCCTACCCAATTCACCTGTACCACATGTCTTTGGACTGTGGGGGGAAACCGGAGCACCCGGAAGAAACACGCGCGAACACAGGGAGAACATGCAAACTCCACACAGAAACGCCAACTGAGCCGAGGTTCGAACCAGTAACCCAGCGACCTTCTTGCTGTGAGGCGACAGCACTACCTACTGCGCCACTGCCTCGCCCTGCTTATTTAACTTCATTAAATAAGTCGTAATTTTACAGATGATTTTATCCATAGCAAATGACAAAGAATGCAGATGGGATCAACGATTATTTCACAAGACTTCTTTTTCTTGTTCATTTCTGCAAAAAATGCAGTTTCATTCTTTGTTCAAGAGTGCGTGTGAAGAAGTGTTAATGCAAATTATATAAAAAACAGCGAACATTACTCCCATTTGATGTCATTATGCTCGTCTTGTTTACTGTTGGTTGTTTGGTTACCAATACTACACGGTCTGACAAAAGTCTTGTTGTCAATCCCAGTTGTAGACTACATAAAGGAATGACCATGTAAATGGTTTTTTTTGCTTGTCTGTTGCTTCCCCTCCCCTGTTTGTTTGTTTGTTTGTTTGTTTGTTTGTTGATCTAAAGAGAATAAAATGTTGATCACAAGACAAGAAGCAACACCATGTGGAAAAAGTTTTATTTGTCTAATGGTTGTTTTTCTTGTGAAATCAGATGAGCACGAGGCAGCGCTGCAGAAGGAGCAGCAGCGTCATCTTAAAGCTCTCGAGGAACTGAAACAAACCTCAAATGCTGAAGCACTTACAAGGTTTGTAAACACTTCAAGTTTATTTGATTTCTTTCATAAGAGCATGTCATTGACTAAGAGTGGAATGGATCTTGAGAGTGCCATTAATAATGTCCGTCAATGATTCAGTGGTTCAGTCGGCCAGCAGAATCTTCAAGCAGGTCTTGAGGAAATGAAGGAGCAGTACATGAAGGCAGTGGAGAAAATCAAAGGTGAGAGCCAGACCTCTATAAAGATGCTTTACATAACTTAACACATTTTAAAGGGCCATGAAACCCCCTCGTTTCAGCAGGGTGTTTTCACACCTCTACTTCGGAAAAAGTCAGAAAAGCGGGCGTGTCCAGCTCTGTTTAGGGGGGAGTGTCGGAGGAACTAAAGTGGGATGGTGTGGGAGTGTCTATTTGAGCACGCGCGAGTTTCAGTCAAAATACTCACACGAGAAAGTGATGGTGTATTTTTTACAGTCATTGTGTTTAACCTACATGGACATCTGTAGTTGAATTATTTGCCAGATTATTAAATGTTGGACTTTAACTGCAGTTTGGCTCTTTCATTCAGGGAATTCATTCATGCCCCTCGTGACAAACGCGATATTTGATTCGAGGAGCTGCTCTAAGCGTGTATTTTTCATGCAATGTTTGATACCGCACGGCGAATGAGAGAAAAAAAAGCTCCGCAATTTCCGGAAACTTAGATGCACTCGGCAGGTAGCGTCAGAAAGCCGCGTGTGTTATTCCGGTCACAAAATGCGGTGCTATGTTTGCACTCAGTGCAATAGTTAACTTAATTCGATACGAACAAACTGAATAAACAAAGAGCACTGGTCGCTCACTTACCAAATCTGTAGAGACAGGACAATCACCAGCAACTAGAGCCGCGTCTTTATTAAGAGGAGACTACAAGCGAATCCGGATCTCAGCGTTTGCAGATGAGAACAGCTCTCAGGTAAACAATAATCCTCCTTGGACACGTAAGTTATTGTTGTCGAGCGTCGCGTACACTGTTAATCCACACGTGAGTCTGAGCTCTCACAGAGAGAAAATGAAAACGAAACTTAACTGCAGCAAACTATAAAAGCAACACTTCACGCTTGTTTTGCCAACACAACGTGGCGTCTCTGGTGTAAACAGTGACACTAATGAATATTAATGAAGTTGCAGAATAGAGCGCGCTGATTGGTTTGAACCAAGTCTTACTCATGCATTAATGCATCACACTGTAAGACGTAATAAGAGTCACTCATGTAGAGACGTCAAGTCTGCACGCTGGAATACACGCTATTATGTCATGACCATGACGCAGCTTCAAAAATTCGTTTCAAACAGGAAGTACGAATTTGCTTGAAATAACGCAAAAACAACCAATTTACACTTTTTAGTGAAATATAGGTGTCCTAATAGTGTTTTTAGCAGTGTGGGACACATATACGACTGTCAACAGCTCAAAAAATGTGTTTTGGTGTTTCGTGACCCTTTAAGTAAGTAGTAAAAAGTAAGCAATGTAGTTATATAGCGCCTTTTGCAAACAAGAAGTCTCAAAGTGCCTAACAGTAAAAGAAAACATTGATCTAAACTGGTTAAAATCCAAGTACAGATACCACCAAAATGAATAGTCAAGTTTATTAAAAGTTTGTCCAAAAAGATGTCTTTTAATGTTTAAAAAAAAAAAAGTAAATTAATGTTTCCCGTATTGTTTCAGAGTTGGTGAGAAAGTTTTAACAAGCAGCAATGCACCAAATTTTCAAAATGAATTATAATTACAGTAACAAATGTTGTGTATTCTAAAGATTTGGATCATGCTAATTAATGCTAGCAACATGTTGAACGCCAATTGTTAAACTATGTTAAAACATGCTACATGCATTTGCTAAATCATGTCTACATGTCGACAATTAAGCAATGATCCTAGCCATGTTGTTTTACATACAAACAATGTAAAAAAAACAAAAAAAAAACATTTTAGTCAGCGCCAATAGCCTAGTGGTTAAGTGCACCGACATATGGCACTGTGGTGCTCACGGTGACCTGAGTTAAATTCCTGGCTCGAGGTCCTTTGCTGACCCTTACCCTTTTTCTGCTCTCAATACTTTCCTGTCTGTAACCTCCACTGTCCTTTGCAATTAAAGGTGAAAAACCCCTAAAAAAACAACTTTTAAACAGCATGCTAGCAACATTTCAAATGCAAAACCAAATGTTAGTAATGTACAAACGTGCTATCAGCATTTCAAATCATGCTAGGAAATGTTTAAATCTGAAATATTAGCATGGTATTCATGTGCTAATACAAGTGTTTAAAACTGTAATTATTAGTGTTTTAAAACTGTAACGAGGTTTCAAACATGCAAAAGATATAAAAGCAACACTGATCCGTATCTCCAAATAGATTTGCTTCTCCCACTTGTTTTATGAGCACAACGTGGTGTCTCTCTGCCATCTGAACACTGTACAGGTACAAACAGTCTTCGAAGCGATCATGCATATTAATGAAGTTGCACTTCATACGCAATAGAGCGCGCTGATTGGTTTGACTTTGAACCAAGTCTTTCTCATGAATGAATGCAGCACACTCAGAGACGTCACGATGAAAAATATGCACAATAAAGCTGAAGCCATTAGTTGCTGCGACGTTGTGTATTTGTAGGAGACATGCTGCGTTACCTGCAGGAGAGTAAGGAGCGTGCGGCAGAGCTGATCAAGACTGAGGTCCTGAAGGAGAGGCAGGACACGGCCCGGCGAATGCGCAGGTATTACCTCACCTGCCTGCAGGAGCTGCTGGAGGACGGAGGACAGAGCGCAGGGTATGGAGAAGCACAGAGCACAGAACTCTGCTCTGCTTTTCTGACTTCTCTGACTGTTTTCATTCTACATTTTCTTTCTCCAGAGCAGAGAAGAAAATCATCAACGCTGCTAGTAAACTGGCCGCCATGGCTAAAGTCCTGGAGACCCCGGTGGCCAAACGCAAGCATCCGAGAATGCAGAACGCTTATGGTAAATAAAAATATCTGTGTTAAAGTGGCTGTAATATGCTGTTTTAAAGCTTCCACTCTGCAGGAAATGCTTTCCCTACTTAGATTCCAAACCATGTGACGCAGTTGGTCTGGATGCTTTCTATTGTGCAGCGGTAGAAGTTCACCAATATCTTAAAAATCTTAAATCAAGAAGCATTTTCTAGAAAAGTTACCAGAAAAGAAAATTAATTATTAAACATACACATTTTGCACACAACAGTGCACACACACCAGTAGGAACTATATAAACACAACACAAAAAAGTGCAACAGTCTAACAACCTTATAATCTTTCATAGTCATTATTCATTTGTTTACTGTTAACCTCACTTAATGAGAATAGTGGGCAATGTTTACAGCACAAGACTGTTCTTGGTTTAATTTTGGAGACTTGGGGATCTTTGGAGACTTGGGGATAGAGTGTTAGTTGCAGCAGATTGATTTTACAGCACAATGTTAAACCATGTTCAGTCGTGGCCTTTACTTTTAATGTATGTGAGTGCTGTAAAGTCTCAAAAGTTTAACATTGTGCTGTAAAATCAATCTGTTGCAACTAACACTATTTGCTGTGATGTTAATTTAGCATAATAACCCCAGGGGTCGCAATCCAATAGAAAAAGAATTGAAAGGCTGATGACTTTTCATTTGCGTGTTGTATTTATGTAACTGCCAAGAAAAAATTTCTGAATTGTGTGGAACTGCTTTGTTTTTATATCTTGGCTGATCCTAGTTTAATAGAGGCACTTTTAATTTTATATTTTGACTATTATAGAGTACTTTTCCATTTATTTATATTAGCTAAATGTGATTTTCCTAGGTGGATCAGACAAAACAGACCCTGAAACCTGTGATTCTCCTGCTAAAATGCTGGGTGCTGTCTCAAACGGAGCTGAAGCACTCAAAAATGGTAAGGACAAGCAGATCCATCAGATCTACAATCAAACCTACACATCCTTGATGTCAAAGCAAAGAGCTATCAAACCAAAAGCCTTCGAAACAGATTCCCTGAAGCCTCCAGTAGCGTCTAAAGATCCTTTCACTGCTGGTCAGGTAACTCAGAAACACACACACTTTGCTCATGATTGTGTTTTTGACAGCGATATCAAGACTCCTAATGTCACTCTGAGAAAACAGAGCAGGGAAATGTGCATGGGTGGTGGCTTTGAGTCTGGAAGAGCAGAACTATTAGCCAATCGACCTTTTTTAATTGAAGAAGCTCCCGTTCGGGATGACGGACAGAGTGATTGGAGTTTAACCAGTAACAGCTCCAGTGTTCACCTGACGTCCTCTTATCCCGGGTCTGAGAAGCCTTTGTTGGTGAATTCAATAGGCGGTTTGGACTTTGAACGCTCCATCGGCGATAACTCTGATGTTACGATATACAAGGAGATCATTCAACCGCAGTCTTACTCTAAACCCAATGTGTTTGTGGACAGAAGAACAAATAAACACAGAGAGCCGATCCCGGGATCAGAAGGACACGGTGTCCGGAAAATGTGTCCAAAGAGCTTGTTTTCCGAGTTGAAAGTGCATCAGCAGGACAGCGGGTTCGACAGCCCGTTGGCACTGCTTCAGAAATAAATAATGAACATAAAAGAGTTGTGTTCTCGGTTTATGGTCTGCAGTGTTCGTCTTTTGTACCGTCTGTGCATGGATTTGTTACTTTTTAACTTAATAAAACGACCTAGTTTTACATTAATGTTTCTTGAGCCATCTACTGTCTCACTGAACACCGTTATAATGAATAAACACCGTCATAATTCCCAAGATGCAGTATAAAATGAAGAGCACAGTGACTTTTTATTTATATATATATATATATTGCAAACACCTGACTGTGGTTTACTCTTAAGGATGTTTCATTTCCTTAGGCTGAATGTGTGTCTACAATCAAAGTCCAATGCTTAGATAAGATGAGGCTGGAGAATATTGTTTAACTTCCTCTGGGTCTTTCGTTGAAATGATTAGGATTTTAAAAAATGCAGTGTATTCTGTTTGACGTATACTATGACCTATCAGCCAAATGATGTACTTAATTTAGTTTCTAAGCTAATTTAATAAATTTTTGTATATACTGCGGTGAAGAAGGTAACGGTTGACAATGTACGCTGGAATAGAGTGGTATAAAGGTGGTTTTCCATTGGAAAGTTTTAAAACTCGAGTGCGCTGCTTGATAAAATTTACATTTTTTATTCATTAATTTTCCTTTGGCTTAGTCTCACACAGCAAGAAGTGTGATGGTCGAGTCTCAGCTGGGCCAGTGTGCATTTCTGTGTGGAGTTTGCATTTTCTCCCTGTGTTGCCGTGGGTTTCCTCTGGGTGATCCGGTTTCCCCCACAGTTCAAACAATTGGACTAAATAAACTAAATTGGCCAGTGTGTGTGTGTGTGTGTGTGTGTGTGTGTGTGTGTGTGTGTGTGTGTGTGTGTGTGTGTGTGTGTGTGTGTGTGTGTGTGTGTGTGTGTGTGAGTGAGTGAGTGAGTGAGTGAGTGAGTGAGTGAGTGAGTGAGTGAGTGAGTGAGTGAGTGAGAATGAGTGTGTATGGGTGTTTCCCACTACTGGTTTGCAGCTGGAAGGGCATCCAGCATAGCATCACCTTAGAATTATAAGGTTCTATCTGGCATTTTTGTCAAAATTGAGTTAATGACATATTCTTTACATTATGGGATTTTTTTTTTTAACAAGTTGTTCACGTTTTAGGACTTTTTATTTAAAGGGCACCTATGGTGAAAAATCTACTTTTTAAGCTGTTTGGACAGACATGTGTGTAAGTATAGTGTATAGACCGTCATATTGGGCTGATATACACACAAACAGTCTTTTTTTTTTTCAGTTTAACAACATAAAAACGGTGGACCAATTGGAGTGGTTTTCAGAGCGACCGCAACTTGACGTAGGAGTGCGGTCCCCCCGCCCACCAATTCTGATTGACAGGCGCGTCACCATATCCTTAGTTTGTTGTTTCACGTCCGCCTTTTTCAGTGTGAGTCAAAGCGATATCACCAAAGGAACACCCTTGCTCTATTTTTAGATGTAAGGCTCATTGGGCTCAACACAAGATCAATATTCTCCACATTATCGATCTAATCGGAATTATTGTTTGTAACTTCTGGTAGGTTTGCAAACGTGTACTTTTCATTGCGTCTACCTTAAATTTCAGCCGGTCGCATCACAGAAGCTCCCTGTGATCTTAACTAGGTGCAGCTAAAAAAGTGCAAGCGCGTTGTCTCGTGTGCGCGTCTCTCCATTGGAAATTAAATAACAAACTTGCCTGCCGTGGCGCGACGATTCGAGAAAATTCATGTTTCTGCCGCGCCACTGAGAGTGTCTGGTGTGGCGTGTCGCGGCTTGGAGCGGCGCATCCGGTGCCTCAGTCAAAGTTAATTCAGTGTGCGTGGTTATTAGTCTCAGTGTACAAGCTCGGCACTTGAAACTAGCACACAGTTAGCTGTAAAACTATACAAAGACACAAATGATTTTGCACTCTCTGCTTGGTCTGTGTCCGAGTCGTACATGTACGGCTGAATGCTGATCCTCTCATGTAGCTTAGTTTCTCTCTGTCTGCCTGTCTGTTGCAAACACAGAGCGTGGGAGCTCTTGGCTCCGCCCCCTTGTTGCATTGGGCGGGAAGCCGAAACTAATTATCATGTGAAGCAACACACCCCTAAAACAGCGAGCTGTGTACACGCCCCCAACATGACACTTTTAACACATTATAATAAAAACATCTGAACTGTGTGTTGAACCTAAACTGACACACTCAGAAGAACCATGATATTAATATTAAATCATAAAGAAAGGGGTAAACTATGTGCTCTTTCAAAAACAAATGCTACACACACACTGTTTGCTATATGGAATGCAAAAACTTTAAAGCTCAATATCTCAAATTCATTCAGAACGCAGAGAGAACCTTAGAATTCCAAGGCGACCTTATGCTTTACACAGCGAATAAGTTGGCAGTTCATTCTTCTGTGGTGACCTCTGATGAATAAAGGGACTAAGCTGAAGGAAAATAATTGAGCCCATTTTCTCTTCAACATTTCTTGTTAAAAGCAAGATGATGACAATATGCTGGACTTTTCTAAGGAAAGCCGTACAATACTGTGTTTTTTCACATTCATGCCAAATATAGAGGACCATTTACACTGGAACGCTTTAAAATACTTCTTGGAGAATTAAAATCCTAATCCTTTTTGGGTATTTTTACTGAAACTTAGTGTAACGCTTGGTGTTGTGAAGTGAAAAAGGGTTAAAGTTTATGTGAACACTATACTAATAGACTACATTTAAACTAGAGTAAAGGTGACCTAGCGGTTGCAAGTTTAGACTCAATGGTTTTGAAATCCGAGACGTTTAATGGTAATATTATTGGTCACACTTTACAATAAGGTTCAATGTCAATTAATGCATTTACTAACACAAACAATGAACAATACATTTACTACTGTATTTGTTCATGCTAGTTAATGTTAGTTAATGAAAATGCAGTTGTTCATTGTGAGTTCATGTTAACTCATGGTGCATTAACTAATGTTAACAAGCATGGACTTGGATGTTAATGTAAATGTTCAATTATGATTAATAAATGCTGTACATGTGTTGTTCATGATTAGTTCATGTTAGAAAATGCATTAACTAATGAACCTTATTGTAAAGTGTTTCCATATTATTTTAGAAATGACCAACTTACATGTTGTTTTAACCCTTGGGTTACTGGGTTGATGATTGAAGTTGAAATTGTGCAATTGGGTTATAGTTTATTCACACCACGTATGTGAATTCTAACCCTTGATACTTCATTCCCTGCAACAGGATTGCACATTTCAGAAGAATGTTGGATTGTGACACCCTCTAGTATTCTGACTAACATTTGTTTTGCAAGAAAGATATGTGTTTAGTATTTGGTGCCGCTTTAATTTGCCTTGTGGATACACAAATTACAGCCTATAGAATTGTGCTTTATGCTTGTGGTTATTATAAATATTGCTCTGTTATTATCTCCTGGCGTATCTTATGGAACAAACAGTAATGAAGTAATGAGAATAGATTAGGTTTTTGAAATGGTTAATCAACCATATGCTTTTATTTTACTTTTTCTTGTGCAAAATGGTATAACAACAGGTTGTATGTATGAATCCATATGAAAAAGCTGATGAAATGTACACTCACTGGCCACTTTATTAGGTACACCTGTTCAACTGCTCGTTAATAGAAATTTGTAATCAGTCAATCACATGGCAGCAACTCGATACATTTAGGCAGGTAGACTTGGCGATATGCTGCAGTTCAAACCGAGCATCAGAAAGGGCAAGGAAGGTGATTTAAGTGACTTTAATCGTGGCATGGTTGTTGGTGCCAGCTGAGCTGGTCTGAGTATTTCAGAAACTGCTAATCTACAGGGATTTTCACGTACAACCATCTCTAAGGTTAACAGAGGATGGTCTGAAAAAGAAAAAAATATGCAGTGAGCGGCAGTTCTGTGTGCGCAAATGCCTTGTTGATGCTAGAGGTCAGAGGAGAATGGCCAGACTGGTTCCAGCTGATAGAAAGACAACAGTAACTCAAATAACCACTTGTTGCAACCGAGGTCTGCAGAAGAGCATCTCTGAACAGACAACACATCCAACCTTGAGGCGGATGGGCTACAGCAGCAGAACACCACACCTGTCAGCGAAAAACAGGAAACTGAGGCTGATCACCAAAATTGGAAATCTATGTACTAGTAGTACAGTGTACCTATTAAAGTGTCTGATAAATGTTTTTATCAAAGTAGTCAGCATTTGAAGCAGATTTTAAATCTTCGTCCAGATATATCAAATTGGGTATCAGCAAATAAATCATTTAAATGTAAATGCGATTGTGATATCTGAAGCGAAATTATCCTAAAGCATGCATGCGGAGATCATGAACCGCTTAAATATGTCTGTCATTATAAATAATAGTGTTTCCTAACATCTCCTCCAGTCTGTGTTCAATCCCACAAAACGAAGCACCGCCTACAGTGAACTTTATATCTGTAATGCTTCGGGTCTCACGGAAAACACTCGGATCAAACTTGTACAATGTTTTGGTATACTGTAAGCGCTGTGATACTTTTAATAGCATTGAGACTCAAATGTCCTTACATTATCTCACAGACCAAGTACATGTGTCGAGTGGCATTAGCCGTGTACCGCACGACAAAGTACATCAAATCCAAGCCTTTTTACACGATACTGGATCGATTCCAGGATTCGGTTCGGAAGAACCCGAAAAAAGCGTTCATTCGGTTTCTGGATCAAACTTACTCATACGAGCAGTCGGATAAAGAGAGCAACAAAATCGCGAGGACTTTGCTGAAGCACGCGGATCTTCATGAAGGAGACACGGTTGCGCTTTTGCTCGGGAATGAGCCCATGTTTCTGTGGATATGGTTGGGTTTAGCTAAGATCGGATGTTCTGTTGCTCTTCTCAATCATAACATCCGATCCAAGTCCCTTCTGCACTGCTTCACCTGCTGTGGGGCCAATGTGCTGATAGCCGGTGCAGGTACAATACTGACAGTTCAAAGTGTTATTTGTCAAATGCAATCCGCGTCTGATGTGCTGACTGTATTGTAATGCTGTTTGCTCAGTGCATACTATCTGATGATGTCTTTCTCTAAGTCTTCCTCAACTGTTAGAGATGCTACTTTTAACTTTTGTACACAGTCAGAAAAAAGGTACCGTAAGGGGACAAATTTGTTCTTAGAGGGAACAAAGTATATAATTGTACCTTTTAAGGTCGCAAATTGGTCCTTAGGGTACAGTTTTGTACCCAAATGGGCCATTAAGGTACAAACGTTTAGATTTGGATTTTGAAAGGAACGTTTTTGTAACTTCATAGCACATTTAGGTACAAAATTGTATCCTAAAGGACCAATTTGACACCTTTACAATTATATATTTCGTTCCCCTATAGGAATAAAATTGTACCCTCAGCTCATGAGATCAGAACACTATATAACACTAATTTAAATGTATTAATACTAAACATTAATACTAAAATACATGATTTAAAAATATAAAGTGAATTAATTGATTGAATTAAGTATTTTAATAATTTTAGTTATTTTCATATGTTCAAATTTTTCCTCAAAAAATATTTATATGCATTTTTGAATGTAATTTTAATCAATAAAAACGTAAATACTGATCATAGCATAACTAATTGTTTAAGACCCTAAATGAGATTTAGAATGAGGAACATGCAAAGTGGCAACATCATCATTCAGGTGTTGCTGCTGCTGTCTCTTTAAGAAAAATTGGCCTTACACAGAACTCTGCATGCAGTCACCAAAGGATCAAAATGGCTGGATCAGTACCCTAAAAATGCTATATAATAAGGTACATTTACCTTTAGTGTCTACATTTTTGTTGCTTGGGGGTACAAAATTGTCCCTTAAAAAAATACAAATGTAGAAGGTACAATTTTGTACCTCTAAATAGACATTTACAATACACATTTGCACAGATGTACTGATTTAATTTGTTTTATTAAACATTTTTGACTTAAATGTTAAAGTTGTGTTTGTTAGACCCTCGCCATACAAACTGATAAACTATTTTATAAAATGTAAAATGTTGTCTAAGTATTTATTGGGGGCCCCCAAATTTTCTGGGGCCCTAAGCGGCTGCTTACCTTGTTTATTGGTTAAATATGCCCCTGACTGTATCATATTTTCACAAATTGAAGGAATGGTTCGGCCAAAAATTGCTGAATAATTTTGTCATGATTTGCTCTACTTTGCTGAAAACTTGTTTCCATTGACTTACATAGTATTTATTTTTTCTGCTGTGGATTTCAATGGGTTTTCTCCAGCGACAAAACTTACACACTGTACCTTTAACCATATATTTTCTAACCAAACTGTCATAGAGTAAATTTAACGATCGTATTTGTTGGCTTAATGGAGGCAAACTACAGAGCGTTTCAAAATTATCCATATCGCTCAGATCAGATGCTTTCTTAACTGCTGTTTTCTCACCACTTTCACTTATCTTGGTTTATTTTGTTAATGCGAGACAAGAGCAGAGCACATATTTTTCTAAACGTCACTTTCAGCACAGTACAGCATCTGGATGTGTTGTAATTGTCATTGCAAAGCTATTTAACCTTTTTTTTATTAATAGAATAAGGAAACAAACTTCATGGTGAGTATACATTGAATCACAGTCAGTCTTTTATGTGTGCATGGGCAATACGGTGCTTGCTGCTGTTTACTGTTTGGCCACTAGGGTTACTAATAACAAGGGTAAGGGTGAGGGTCAGGCCATTCCAATCCCATGAGACCTCTGTTCATCTTCAAAAACAATACATTTTAGATGAAATCTGAGAGCTCTATGATCCTCCAAATATAGCAACAGTCTAGTGATATTTAAAGTCTAAAAAAGGAACGAAAAATGCTGTCAAAACATTTCATGTGACTTCAGTGGTTCAACTGTAATCTGTAATACTTACTTTATATTGTCCTGTAATACCGAATGCAATTCAACAATCAAGATGCCAGGATATATACGTATACAGCGCTATACACAGAATCATCTGTCCACCTCTACTATTTACAGTTTGTTAAATAGTCTTTCTCTGGTGCAGATCTGCAAGATGCGGTCGAGGAGGTGCTGCCGGCTCTGAGAGAGCAGGGGATCTCTATATATATACTAACTGAGCATGTGAGCTCAGAGGGAATGACGAGTCTCACAGACAAGATCAAGCAGGCCTCAGATCAGCCCATTCCAACAGACCTTAGGGCCAATGTGGCCTTCAACACCCCAGCGGCCTACATCTACACTTCAGGAACCACCGGTAACGCCCGTCTCTTACACAATTATTTTTTCTGTGTTGTTCTCCTGGCTTGGTACTTCTAACACTGGATATGGAAATTAAGGGATATTCAGGCACGTGCACATATAGGGCTCAACCTGTGCAGTGCACATGCCCTTTTAAGTCTTTGATAGAAAGTGCCCTTCCAAAATGATCTGAAGTGCCCCAGCGACACCCAACCACACCCCCCAACCCCCCCCCCCCCCCCCTCCCCTCATTTTCCATGGTGCTGATGTGCTTTTATTTTCTCCGTCTCGCGCCAAGTTCATGCGAGGGAGTGTTTAACAAGCAACGCTGACTGGAAAATGTACATTTAGACTTCAAATAAAATATTTTAATATGAAAAAGAATATATGCATTTGATCCTATCAATGTCATAACGAATGCCCTTAAATGAAGTAAAGCATCAGCAAGCATCACGTGTTTATTGAGATTGAAATAAATATAGATAAAGAAACATTGAAATTAAGATAAAAATTATTGTTTTAGCAATACTTGTGACTGCTTTGCGAAATAATGCTCATCGTAGACATCACGGGACTGATCGTGAAGGAACATGTAGTCTGGCACATTTGTTACCTGCCAAGTCAAGATTTTATTAAGAAACAATCACATAATCTGACATAGTGACTTTCGTAACGGACAATAAAAATCGAATGATCTGACCAGGGCAAAATCCTTCTTTACTGTACCGTACCACTCAGTGGAAACAAGCCATACAAATAAGTAGTTCCAAAAATGTCAGCGAACAGTAATTTCATATACCTGGAGAGAGAGAGATACTCTCAAGTAGGCAATCACAACTACTATACACTTCAAATTTTACAAACGTTTTAATGGCTGTTGGCACCTACAGCAAATTTTAAAATGTTTGTCTCGATGTGTTAGAATTAAAATCTGTTATTTTAAAGGGGACATATTATGCCTCATTTTACAAGCTGCAAAACAAGGCTCCGATGTCCCTAGAGTGTGTATGTAAAGTTTCAGCTCAAAATACCTCCCAAATAAAACTTTTTTGAAACTGCCCCTTTTAGGCTTTGAGCCAAATTGTGCCGTTTTGCTGACTGTCGCCTTAAATTTAAATGAGGTTGTCCTCAATTTTAAAAGAGGGCGGAGCTACATCACTTGTGCATCCTAAAACTTCACATTTGTAATGCCTCTTAGTTGCTGACATTGGCCGTTTCTCAATATGCGTTCTTCAGCGGTCTTGTGTTCTAGTGCAACGTCATCATCAGCTGCCCAAGTTCAGTTCCAATTCTCAAGAGCGCAAGTACGGAGGACGCGTGAAACTTCCCGGATGTGTTCTTGATATCGAGGACGCACCGATGCAAACTTGAGCACTGACCTCGCTCTGGAAGTCCTAGAAGTCATTGCGACTGGAGGTGGGAAGCGCAGCATTTTATTTAGATTTATTATTAAAGTTCAGATGTAACGTTATTATTTATTTACCTCAGGAGTTTCCCTAAATGAAACGGTGAAAGTAAACATCACCATGAACATCTTAATAAAGGAATAAACACATCAAGGGTGTTTGTTTGTTGAAATTCGTATTAAAATCTGATTATTTATATTGTGCAGAGTATATTGATAATGTTTTTATGCAAAGTATATATTATGAAAATGTAAAAAACAATAAATCATTGTATGAATGCGGTTATGTTTAAATAATTTACCATTTAAAACGCGTGAAGGTCATGTGACCATCAGGAAGAACGCAGCATCTCATTTCTCAAGGGGTGCGTTCTCTGCCCTCGCGGTCTCCTGAGTTCATTCGTCTGAGGACACCTGGCAAGACCGGTCTTACTAAGAACGCAAGTCCGTTTTCTGCATTCTTGGAATTGAGAAACAGCCATTATCTTCAGCAGGGAAGAGCTCTAAGGTACAGCTGCTTCTCACTGGGCTGCTTAATAAGGGAGTGATCGTAACTAGTGGGCGGGGCTTTCCCCCTCTGATGACATGTACAAAGGGAGAATGTAAATCAAAGTGTTTCTGCAGACTGTTTTGATCAAGTGTGATTATGAAAAGTAGAATTAATACAGTTTTACACTTAGAGGCTGGTTGTATTCACAGACTGTTGCCACACAACTGTGTTTAAACCCCTTCTAAAAGTGAAGAAATGGTCCCCTTTAAAGCTACAGGCAGTTCGGAATGCAGACGGAGAGTGTGTGTGAAAAAGGCATCAGACTCTCTACTCTTGACTCCAGAGGGGAATGGATGAAGGTCTCAGTGAAAGGACAGGTGTGTAATTAATGGATGTGTTTGATGGCTGCAGGTCTCCCGAAGGCGGCAGTGATCACTCACCGCAGGCTCTGGGCGATGGCCTTCTTTCAGTCCATCTGTGGAGTGAAGTCTGATGACGTGATTTACGTCTGCCTGCCTTTGTATCACAGCTCTGGCTTTGGCCTCGGGTTCGGAGGTTCTGTTGAACGAGGTATTTCATTGACTTCTTTTACTGTTAGTTTTGTTTAGTTTTCTGTACATATCTATTTGCTTTTATCAATGTTTTTCTGGTAACACTTTATTTTTAAGGTGTCGTTATCGCACATATTTAATGTACTTACTGTTGTAATTACAATGAATTATGCACCATTATTCACTCATCAATTTTCCCTCAGCTTAGTCTCTATTACAGAGGTCACCACAGCGGAATGAACCGCCAACTTATCCAGCATACTGTATGTTTTCACAGCAGATGCCCTTCCAGCTGCAACCCAGTACTGGGAAACACCCATAAGCACTCATTCACACACACTCTCATACACTACTGACAATTTAGCTTACCCAATTCACCTAAAGCGCATGTCTTTGAACTGTGGGGGAACTCTGGAGTACCCGGAGGAAACCCACACCAACACGGGGAGAACATGCATACTCCATACAGAAATGCCAACTGACCCAGCCGGGACTTGAACCAGTGATCTTCTTGCTGTGAGGCGACAGTGCTAACCACTAAGCCGCCATGCCACCACTATATTTATTTATTTGTTTATTTTAAAGCACATTTATTTTTGAGTCACCATTATGTTTTATACAAAGAGATTGTCAAATCAGCTTTACAGAAATTAACAGAACAAACACGGCAACCAATGTTCAATAACAGTATATAGTTTATTATTATTTTTTTTTTTTTTCCCCTTTAGGAGCCACGATTGTCCTGAGGAGCAAGTTTTCTTCCTCTCAGTTCTGGGACGACTGCAGAAAGTATAACGTCACTGTGATTCAGTATATTGGAGAAACCATGCGCTACCTCTGCAACATGCCAAAGGTATAGCAGCATTTAAAAAGCCAAACTGCACACAATGATCACACAACCTTACTGTTTACATCTTTAACCATTTGAAGAGAAAGTTTTGCTAGCTGAAGATTTCTCTTTATAGCCAAGAGTTGAACAAGCTGTGTTGTTAAGCTGTTACGTTCTCCAGAAAGCAATGATGAAAGAAAGAATCCATATATATAATGTGGAGCCATTCAAAATGACCTCAAAACACACAGCAAACATACAAGCTGCGTCCCAAATCCCATACTTATGCACTATTCTACGCCATTTTGTAGTATAAATAGTGTAAGTAGTGCGTTCACACTGAAAACTCTAAAAATAATAAGTGCACTTTAATTACCCGGATGATGCACTCATTCAGCCGCTAAAATTAAGTGTGTAATGATGGACACTTCACGCACTCAACGACCGCAGGTTTGCTTACGTAGCGGAAGGGGCGGAGCTATCGGACGCACATGTTGAATAACTTTATTTAATTTGGATGGTGAAAGCAAAATTCTTTTACGAGAGTGATTATAGCACCTCCCGATAGTGATTGCGGCAATACTCACGGCAGGTATTATTTGATAATTCGGTCGTTTATTTCACTGATATGGCGACTGTCAAACGTCATCAGGAAAACGGTTTGAATTTCCGCTTAGTAAAAAAAACATTAGTGTGCCATTTGGGACGACACTACATACATATACTATCCTGTTGAGTGTGTAAGTGCATAAGTACATAGTGCATGAGTGCATAGTGTATAGTGTGCCATTTGGGACGCAGCTACAGACTTCCGCCTTTCTGAAATCTTCCATTTGTTTTTTTTTTCAAGGAAAGGTCATTAACCCTTAAAGGGGCACTTTTTTTGGTCCACATCTTGTATTGAATAATATGCTGGCACAACTCTAAAAAATAGTAAGAATCAATTAAAATGATAATGATAACTATAGCAAAATTAGCATATAGCTAATTTTGATGAATTAGCTCTAACCTTTAACAGTTTTTCCTTCTTTTTACGCGGTTATACGCTCATTATATTTCACACGTGAGGTGAGTGAAATTGAAATTAAAATACAAAAGGTACTGAGCCATTACTACAAGTAGAAAAACTAAACTAAACAACAATTATACTTTAAAGGAGAACATAGACGTTTCGAAAACAAACTGAACTGAAACTACATTAATAAAACTAAACTTGCGGCTTAATTTATTTAATTTGCGGGACTTTATTTATTTTTATTATACTTTTAGTGATCTGCTTGAGGTAGGTCAATTTATTTTTATGCTTTTGATGAAGCAGCATTCAACTTAAGCTCTTTAGACCATGCACCAGACCGTTTCTGAGTGTTTCGCTGCAATGTCTTAAAATAAATAATTATTTAGGTCAATTTTCATTATTCATTAATGTTTTAATATTTGTTTATTATTATGTACAATAATTGAGACATAAAATGAGATATGATGTAATATGAGATATAATGTAAATAAAAACAAATGAAAAAGCTTATTTAATGACTGTCTTAGTCCTATCAAAACAGCAAACGCTGAACATCTCTCTATTTAGGCTAAAATATTGCTTTGTTTATTTATTTAGGCCTACTTATTTGTACCGAATGTTTGTGCTTTCATTTTAGTTGTCTTTTAATTCTTCATTTCTACTTTCCAAAGTGAATCCTCATTGCACTTAACTAGTGTACAATGATAATAAAGGGTGTTAACAAATTTTGATTATGATTAATGAAGGAATTATAATGCTTTGTTTTATCATTTCATCTTCATTTATAAGCACAGTAGCATATTTACAGCTGCTGTATAGGCTATTTCTGTCCATTTGCATCACGTCCCTTTGTGCCCCCTGGCGGCATATTCACAAACTGCGGTCATACATTAAAAACACATGCTTGCCCATTTAAAGTGCCGTCGGTATAAGCCACGGCGGTAATGGCCACATTGGTCAACCAGTGGTTATGATGCCTGTTAAAGGGTTAAAGTAGTCTAGCACACTGAACTAATGCAAACCCAAATCAGAAGTATGGAAACGCAAATGAAAAAAAGAACAAAGGGATTTCTAAATTTACTTTGACTAGTAAAGTCAAATCGTCTGAATCAAGTCTGATCTTTATTTTGTATTTTATATTGGATTCATCTCAGGGGATTGGGTGGGCCATTCTACAGCTTGATTTTTTTTCTCTGAAAGCAAGTTTCCTTGGCTGTGTTTTGGATCCTTGTCTTGCTGAAAAGTCCACCCTGGATTCATCTTCCTCATCCTGCTAATGTAAATGTTTGACTAAAGCAGGTAATATTCATTTACACTGACGATGGGCAAAGGTTTGCAGAAGAACTTCTGAGGAATTTCAGGTGCAGTCTGGGCTTTCACTGCCTTTCTACACCTTCCTTTTTTCATGTGTCCAAAACTTTTTTCCTGTGCCATTTCATTTTGTTAGACAGAACTTCATTTGTTAATCAGTAATATTTGTTAGAATTATATTTGCATATATGGATTTCTCTGGTCGTATCCAACATCTGGGGAAAATTTCAAGTCAACGGCATCTTTAGAAATATGTTTTCTGACTAAAGTAGTGACGTGTTTAATACTTATTTCCCTCACTGTAACTTGAAAATAAAGAGAATGCACAGATCAAATAAAAAGCTTTGCTGCTGACTTTTTTCTCAGAAAACATATTTCTAAAGGTTCCGTTGGCTTGAAATTTTCACCAGATGTTGGTATCAACCTAAGAAATCCATATATACAAAGACAACAAAACTTATTAGATTACAAATGAAGTTATGTGTAATAAAATGAAATAACCCAAGAAAAAAGTATTGAACACATGAAGAAAGGGAGGTGTAGAAAGGCAGTGAAGGCCCAGACAGCAGCAGAAATCTCTCAGTAGTTCTTCAGCGACCATCGTAAATGAATATCAGCTGCTTCATTCCAACATCTACATCAGCAGGAGGATTAAGATGAAACCAGGGAGGACATTTCAGCAAGACAATGATCCTAAGCACAGCCAAGGAAACTCTCAAATCAAGAAAGAAAATCAAGCTGTATAATGGCCCAGCCAATCACCTGATGTAAATCCAATTGAAAAAGAAATCAAGATCAGATTTGATTCAGACGATTTGATTGTGACACTCTGTTGAAGTCTGTGAAAATATCACAGCTGAGAAATGCATGTGACTTCATTCTCCATATGAGAGGTGTCTTTAAGCTGTCATCACAAAGTATTAAATACATTTCAATAGTTCAGTGTTTTCTCCTTTTCCCACTTTTTTAATGCCCTTTTGGTTTTTCTGCTCCTCCTCTGTGCTCTATCTTTATAATATGCTGTTTTTTCCTCATGTTTGTTCTCTCGCTCTACAAGTGTGTTAGTGACCAAGTGCACAACGTCAGGATGGCCATTGGGAATGGCATCCGGCCGGATATCTGGAGGACGTTCATAAACAGATTCGGTCATGTTGAAATCAAAGAATTTTACGGCTCAACTGAAGGAACTCTGGGCTTCTTGAACTACGCTGGCAAAATTGGGGCCGTCGGTACTGTCAATTCTTTTCATAAGGTAAACTACCCACAATTCAATACTGTTCCCTCATTCATCATGGGAGCTGGACAAAAATGACTTATGTGCGCCAATTTGTGTGGTTTTAGAAACTGTACCCGTATGTCTTCATCAAGTTTGATCATGAGAAAGAGGAGCCCGTCAGAAACGCTGATGGATTTTGTATTGAAGTTGCAAAGGGCAAGTAATATGGAGCCAATAATGTGACAAAAGGATTTGAATTTGAATTATTGACACGTGTTGTTTAAAAAAAACTAAATATCAAATGTCATATGTTTTTAGGTTTAAGTCTTTTTCAAAATAGACTATAGCCAAATAGACTAGGGGTACTATTTTAACAATTTAGGTGCAAAATCTAAAGGGCATGGCGCAAAAGCATTAAGGGCGTTCCCGAATCCACTTTTGCTATTTTAAGGACTGAAAAATATGCTCTGCGGCAATGCGCATGGTCTAACAGGGTTGTGCTTATTCTCTTAATGAGTTATTTGTGTGTTTTGAGCATAACGTGCATTAAAACAATCAGAGCATCATCTCCAATTCTTTTTAAGAGTCAGTTGCGTCGCGCCATAGCGCATTTGCTATTTACATGATGTACTTTATAAGTGGAAAAACTGAACAATAGTGAGGAAACAGTTAAACAGAGCATCTGCAGCACAAGGATAAAGAACGAGCCTTCTCCAATCGGCCTTTACTTTCACTTTCTCTTTCTCCCTTTCGTAGATAAGGAAACGTGTTGTACGCGCTTTACTGAAGACATCCATTAGCCTACATAATTAATTTAGTTTGTTAAGCGCAAAAATTTGTTTCAAAACTATTTCTAAATTCAGTTCTAATTTCCAGCAAACGAATAAATGAACAATAATAAAGTAGTGTGGTCAAAAAACTGAGTTATTTCCAAATACACATGCTGTGCCCCATATTGTACAAAACCTGACAGGTGGACAAATCTAAATTTGTTCTTATTAAAACAAATATAAATATGCATATAATAAATAATACTGCTAATAACAATAACATTATACAAATGCAAGTGAATAAACTGAAAAAAGTCCCCCGAGATTATAAAGGCATGGAGGCAGTCGTTTTTATATTTATGTAGAAAGTAATAATTTTGTAATATTCTACTTCTTTTTCATTCGTAAAGATATTTGTGTATTGCTGTATATCCTGAGTGTTTTAAGCAGTGTGTAAGTGGGGCGCAGAACTAACGCGCTCTGCTCTGCTTTCAGATGGTCTATTGTACAGTATATTTCAGTTCTTCAAAATAGCAACAATGCGCCTTAACACACCTCTTTTCTAGACCGAAACACCCATGAGTCCACAAAGTGGCGCAAATGGATTTGCTATTTAAATAATGTGGCAGAAAACGGGAAAATTAAGGTTGTGCTGGTCTGAAAATAGCAACACGTTGGGGCAAACATGTCCCGCGCCTTATTGCGCTGGGTGTATGATAGGGCCCTAGGTTTTAAGTGCACTGACACATAGCACTTACGCGGTGACCAAAGTTCAATTCCCAGCTCAAGGACCTTTGTTGATCCTATTCTGCTTTCTCTCCTCCCAATGCTTTCCTGTCTGTGATCTCCGCTGTCCTGTCCTAATATTGGTTTAAAAAGCTTACAAATAAATAAATTATTTAATTAATAACATTTAAATCGCAGAAATTAAGATATGTTTAGAGAGCGTAAAAAGCAGGTCAGAGATCATCCACAAGAAAGAGTAGATGATCTCTGTAAAGTTGAACAAAACTTTAGCCCCTTTTATACAGTGATACTGGTAAATATCCGGAAAATTACCAGAACAACTTTACCGGTGAATTCAAAAAAGTGCTGTTCACACAGACAAGCACATTCTGGAATTTTTCCGGAAAAGTCCATTCATACATCCATTCCAAAATACCAGTAAATTCTGACATCATTAACCAGAAATGGCCTCTAAGCTGCTGCGCTTGTGTTTGTAAACCTAGCCGGGCTTTTGTTGATGGTTTCACTTTTATTTAAAGCTTTAGCATTCATGCAAGATTTGTTCTAGAGACATCCAAAGGCAGAAACCGTGAACCGTAGCTAAATATTTACACATTTGACTTCATTACTAATTCTGTGGATGGATAAGTATTGTGAACAACTTCAATTAATTCACATTGAGGAACCCGTTCGCATGTCGAGATGTACATGATGTGTGTGTGCTGCCGCACACCAGAGCAGTTCTTCACGTGCACACGCGTCAAGCAACTGAAGCAGAGCTTGAATATAAACAAACAACGGTTTATGTTAAGCATTTTATCAATAATTTTTAACACAGTTGACATTAAAAAGGAAAAAAGAAACGTTATTTGACAAACATCTAGCAGCTAAATGTGTCTTGAGAAATATTCAAAGGCTTTTATTTTTATAAACAGCGCTGATGTGAATGTGTCTGAATATTCTGATTGGTTTGAGTTGACGTCTTACGTTAGTGTGTTCTAAAAGTGAACGCTCTCTATCTGGCAATCTTCCTTCTGTGTTTACACTACACAGCATTCTGGCAAATTACCAGTAATGTTACAACTTCTTTTTCCAGAACATTGCTGGAATGAATTTACTGGTATTTTCAAAAGAGCCTGTTCACACATGATCCCTTTTCCGGAAAATTGCCGGTAATTTTCCATAAAAGTCTGTATGTGTGAAAGGGACTAATGTTTGAGCTTAAAACTAAGTGTGAAACTATATTTTTTGGCTGCAAATATCCAGTTTTTAAAAATAAAGTTACAGTTTGAAATTACATGTCTATAAAAACATGGCTTAACACCAGGACACACCAAGCTGGTGGTCGGCTGTTGAGCTTCTTCAGTCCGACGGTCAGGCTAGTTGGTTTGGTGTTTTCCACATGTCAACGTTTGTCTGGTTAACATCGATGCTCGTTTCCCCGATTGAACACATAGAATCGGTGTTGGTTTAGTGGCTGAAGAGAGCACTCTGACTGGTTATTCAGCAATGAATCAGAGTGATGTAGTGAAGTGACGCAGCAAGTAAACAAATGAAGTCAAGAAGAAACACAAAGAGACCGGCTGTAACTTCGCCACGTTTCTCAAATATTTGCAAACAATATGTATTGTTAGATTATCAGACATTTGTGCAGGTGTGAATCCCTCTATGGTAAATGACAATTACTGTGATAATGATGGTAAACACTGCTTTGTTTATACTTTCTGTGAAGTTTGGTTTTCCTTTGCAGAACAGTAAAACAGATACTGCCCCTCGCGCTGCAGAAAGACACGTCCACGAGCGCAGAAAACAGCTGTCATTTCAGTCAGCGTTCATTTTTTGGTGTGCTCACGAGCAGCTTTTTGGTCCAGGCGTGACCCAACGTGAGGCGACAACACAGTTGGGGTTTTGTTGGTGCTTGTTGTTTTGCGTCAGCTTAGCGTGTCCTGGCCCTTTTAAAAAAAAATCTGTTGTCTCAAATTTCAAATGTTCCATATTCAAGTAAGGAAAATCTGATTCAAAACTGTTTTAAACACCACACCGGATAATTCAAATGTACACAATTCAAGTTTAAATAGTTTTGTCATAGTTTTAGCTCCATAATATTAATAATGTTGATTTGACTGAGAATAGAGTGATAATTCAATCAGGATGGTTATTGCTGATCATGCAGGAGAGACGGGTCTGCTAGTGACACGGCTCACTCAGAAGATTGAGTTTTCTGGATACGCCCGGGATCCCAAACAGACGGAGAAGAAGAAACTCCATGATGTGTTTGAGAAGGGAGACGTTTACTTCAACACTGGAGATCTGTTCAGGACTGACCGAGAAAACTTCATCTACTTCCAGGATCGGGTGGGCGACACTTTTAGGTGAATCAATCACATGAATACAGTGGGTTTACATAAACTGGCTTCTCCATTCACTTAAAAAAAATTCAGATGTGAGCAAGGTTAAATTTATTTCATACAGTACAGTAAAAAAAACTGTACTATTGTGAAGAATTACATATTAAACTAGCATTTTGTATTGTATTTATTCCTTATTATTTGTTGTTCCTAAATCTTGGAAGACTTTAGTCAGGTTGTGTATTATAATTAGCTAATAAATGCATGATATTCTGTTTTTCAGATGGAAAGGGGAAAACGTCTCCACTAATGAAGTGTCAGACATCATGACTCTGGTGCCTTGTATCGAGGAAGCAAATGTTTACGGCGTCACAGTTCCAGGTATAATGCAGATTTTCTCTTTTCTAGTAAACCCTCCATTACTTTACTGCACTACCTGTTCATATATACAACACACAACTGACGCTTTAATGCATGTGAAGGTTTTGAGGGGAGGATAGGAATGGCCGCCATCATACTGAAGAAAGACCATCAGTTTGAGTGTGATGACGTTTTCAATCACGTGACCTCCTACCTTCCGGTTTACGCCAGACCACGTTTCATACGCATCCAGGTAATGACACGATGTTGTTTTATTGGTCAGAAGTATGCCTTCAGTACGGTTTAAAGAGATAGTTCAGCTATAAATTTAAATTCTGTCATCCTTTACTTTTCAGTTCAATTTCTTTTTTTCTGTTGAACACAAAAGAATATGGTCCACTCTTCTCTGCAGAATTGTTGTAATTCAGCCACATTGTTGAGGTTTTGTTTTTTTTTTTACTTGTTTTTTTTTTTGTCATGCCACAGCATCTCAATTGGATTCAGGTCAGGACTTTGACTAGGCCACTCCAAAGTCATACATATTATAAATGTATTCAATTTTTTTTACTCTCTTGAATAGTTTAATAAGTCTTTGATGGAAAAAAAGTCAATACATTTTAAATGGTACAACATTTCCAAAAAATGCGAAGCAGCCCAACAGTTTTCAACACTGATAATGATATTAAATGTTTCTAGTTTGTCAATTCAGCATATCAGAATCATTTCTGAAAGCTCATGCGACTAAAATCTGGAGTAATGCTGCTGAAAATACAGCTGTAGATAACAGGAATAAATAAAAGTTTAATCTACATTCAACGGGAAAACAGTTATTGATTGTTCTTTTCAAGTTGTAACTATTTTTGATCCTATTAATGTATTCTTGATAAACAGAATAAACTACCTAAAATAATAAACAATTAAAAGCACATCCAGCAATCTTACTGGTCACTCATTTTTGAGTGGTGATGTTTGCACCGTTTCATATTGTCATATGCAGCGCAGCCTGACTGAGTGTTTCTGTGATTTGCAGAGCAGTTTGGCTGTTACCTGCACCTTCAAGCAACTGAAGGGGAGGCTGGTGGAGGAAGGCTTTAACCCCGCTCTCATCACTGACCCGCTGTTTATCTTAGACGAGACGGTGAAGAGCTACAGACCTTTGACACATGACACATATGAATCCATACTGGACGCTCGATTCAGACTGTGAAGAGCCGCATTCACTCTATTCAGAATGAAAGAAACCAAATCGTTCGATTCACTGTCCAGAGATCACGCTGTAATTATTCACAGTGCCTTAATATTGCCACCCTTGGTGAATATGAGCAAAGAAGGCTTGTTATCTTTGCTCAAAATGTTAACACTGAAACATAACTTTAAATACACTCTCAAAAGTAATGTTTGCTGTTTGTTCTGACTTATTTAAAATGAGCTGAAATTACACAATTCCTGAGATTTTTGGGGGGGACGATTTGTTTTGTTTATAAATTTTTCGATGATTTTTCCTTCGCCAAACTTGACTGATTTCTTGAGATTTTTGGGTTCATGCAGGTTCCAGTAGGTCTTCTGCAGTATTGTGATGATTGGCATGCAGTTCAACAGATGATCCATCTGACAAATCCACCTTCTGCCACTTTTCCAAACGATCAACTAGAAGTCGAGTTATTATTTGTTGCTCTTACATCTGTAATACAAGACAAGACATTTGTCCAACCCGGGCTCATTGTGGAAACGTAGCCCCGCGGACATTTCTGCGGAACGCGATTTACGTCCCGGGAGGTACTTATTTGAGCGGTTTTTGTTTTCGCGGATCCGCGAGAGGCCGCTGTGAGTGCTTTTTCGCGTCTCGGGCGCCTCTCGGGAGGCGCCGACGGTTCGCAAAAGCCGTTCAGAAAAAAAAAAAAAAGCAAAAGCCCTCGTCTTCAATTTCGACCGCGTTTTCGTATCCCGCCGCGTTCTCGCCCTTATTTTTTGGATTCCGTTTTTCGTCTTACCTGATTTCCGGAACCGCTGTTCCCCGGACTCGATCCCGGTCGTCGTCCCCGTGGCCGGCTCCTCCTCCTTCTCCGGGGCCTCCGCCGACGCAACGCTGTGAGCTAAACGGACAAACTGGTTGCATCGGGAAAGCCCTCCACTCGGAGGTGAGCTGTCAGCCGGCGAGCGCGAAGAGGAGGGGCGGAGCGGCGCCACACCGCCCCGCAGCGTTCACTCGAAAAAAACTAAACGCGGCCTTACGTACCTCCGGCCACGTAAATCGCGGTCTCCAGAAACGTCAGCGGGGCTACTTTTCCAGAATGAGCTTGGGTTGCTTTTGTAAGGTAGTATACAGACATGTTTGCTTATATTTACCAATGGTGCCAGTATTAGTGGAAATGACTGTAATATTTTAAATTAATAAATATTAATTTAACTGATTTAAGGGTGGTAAAAAAAAGTTTTTAAAAGATTTAGTTTCTGTTTTTTTTATTTTTGTGGAAGTTGTCACGGATGTTTTCATTTTATATCAAACATCTCTCTCAGTTTTCTGACAATATTGTTTTAAAAAGAAAATAAAAACCTCAAAAATAGAAGTATCTCTGTCAGTCTGTAAAGGCTTTCTAAGAATCAGATACTGTCTTCCCCTGCGGTCTGAACAAATAGTTTCGTAAGAGTTTGACCATTGGTTCTCACTGAAACCCTCCCACTCACTCCTGTATCAAAGGCTGAATGGGACATGGGTTGCCAGATTGCGAGTTTAAAATAACTTTAAAATTAATATTAGAGTGAAATGTCGAATTAGGGAAATTGTTTTACAGATGTCTCCTGTAATTATGAATATTTATTCAGTGTTTAATTTTATAAAGTTTGATTTAAATAACTAGATATGGTTTTCGTAGTATTTTCAGTGTACTGCATATATAAGTACACCCCTCACTAATCTATCTTTTACATTCATATTTTTAATAGGAAGCTATACAATGTAATATTTGTGCATATACTGTACATTAGATTAGTCAATACTGAAGCCAAATCTGGAGCTAATCTAACAAAATAACTTACCAAAAGGGTCTGAAAACTAGCAAACCCAAATTTATATGTCATAGAAAAATATTAAATACAAATTTTAAAAAGAGGAAAAATCAAGAGAAGCAAAAAAAAATTAATGCACCAAAAATACATTGCTTATATTCACTGAGAAATGGATAAAAATATTAATTTTCCAAATGGGGTGTATTCGATTATGCTGAGCACTGTAGATATTTATCCGAACATTCAGATACTTCATATAATAATAATAAAATGTAATATCAGTTCACATACAAAATGCTTAAGAATATACAGTTGAAGTCAGAATTATTAGCCCCTCTGAATTGTTTTTTCTTTTTTAAATATTTTCCAAAATGATGTTTAACAGAACAAGGAGATGTTCACAGTATGTCTAATAATATTTTTCCTTCTGGAGAAAGTCTTTACTTTAGCTAGAATAAAAGCAGTTTTTTATTTTTTTTTAAAAACGTTTTAAGGACAAAATGATTGGCCCCTTTAAGCTAACTCTTTTCAATTGTCTTCAAAACAAACCATCATTACACAATAACTTGCCTAATTACCCTAACCTGCCTAGTTAACCTAATTAACATAGTTAAGCCTTTAAATGTCACTTTAAGCTGTATTGAAGTGTCTTGAAAAATATTCAGTCAAATATTATTTACTGTCATCATGACAAAGATAAAATAAATCAGTTATTAGAAATTAGTTATTAAAACTATTATATTTCGAAATGTGCTGAAGAAATCTGCTCTCAGTTAAACAGAAATAATGGAAAAAATAAACAGAGGGGCTAATAATTCTGACTTCAACTATATATATATATATATATATATATATATATATATATATATATATATATATATATATATATACATACATACACACACACAGTTGAAGTACGAATTATTAGCCCCTCTTCTTTAGTTCTGAATTTATATGTAATTATTATTTTTCTTGTTGTTGTAAATTCTTATCTCACAAGTAGTGACTTAAAATAGACTTTTCTGAGATTATTTCTCACAATTATGACTTCTTTTTTAACCCTCCCCATATAATAATTGGCTTTATCTCTCTGTCTCCTCCCCACCAATCAGTTGGTGTGTGGTGTGCGGTCTGGCGCAATATGGCTGCTGTCGTGTCATCCAGGTGGATGCTGCACACTGGTGGTGGATGAGTAGATCCCACCCCCTCATTGCGTAAAGCGCTTTGAGTGCCCAGAAATGCGTTATATAAAATGTAAGGAATTATTAGTTACTATTATTAAGATAAAAATGAAGAAAGCTAGACTGGGTGATATAAGAAAAAGACAGCTAAATAAATACATAAATAAATACAAAGTTTACATATTACTGTAGGACTTCCAGGTCCCGAATTGCCTAGGGCCCCCAAATAACTAAACCTGGCTACACCCAAAATAAATCCGCAGATTTTTACAATATTATTTTAATAATATAATTTATAATATGTCCGCAGACATTGTCTGGCTCTACATATGAGGCATTAAGAACAATGGTGCTTTACATCGTAATGCAATCCTCAGTGTTGATCATTAACTTGCCGAGTGAATGGCCGCGGATCTGGCAACCCGCCGAGGCTCTTGAGTCGGGGGTGGACCAGAATGATATAATCTCTCTCCGGAGCCCCCAAAGGGCTGAACTTGCATTTGGAGAATGTGCTTCGTGAATTTTAAGACTGTCCCAGTAGTGTCAGACTATGGCATATAGTTAATCTCATAGTTAAAGCTGTCGAACACTCTCCAGTGAACATGTATGTGTGGATGACTGCGCTCGCGGGCTTGGCTCTCCTCCTCCCCGCGCTCCTCAAAACTTTCTTCCCGTATTTTCTGCAGGACTGCGTTTATATATACAGAGCTCTCGGATGCGGCGTCCGACTCAACATTTACAAGAGGAAAACTCCCTTCTACAGCATCGTGGACTGCTTTTTGGAGGCGGTGAAGAAACACCCGAGAAAAGCGTTCATTCATTTTGAAGGCGAGACTTTCTCCTATGAGGAGGTGGAGAAGCGGAGCAATAAAGTGGCGGACGCGCTGCGCTCGGTGGTCGGCCTCCGGGAAGGGGACACGGTTGCGCTTTTCCTGGGCAATGAGCCCCGGTTTGTGTGGACTTGGCTCGGCTTGGCCAAACTGGGCTGTCCCGCTGCACTCCTGAACTTCAACATCAGATCCAAATCACTCCTTCACTGCTTCTCCTGCTGCGGCGCGAATGTGCTCATAGCGGACGCCGGTGAGTGCACTTGAAAGTGTGCGACTATTCCTAGATTTGTTACAGTCACTCGAGGGAATATCGGTTTGCGAGGCCTTGCACTGGGGGAATTTTCTGAATGTCTGCTGAGTTCTAAAGTTATTATCAATTAGTTAACTAATAATAACCATAACTTTTCTGATTGCAAGTTAATGGGATATAATGTCAGGCCTGGAGCCAGGGGGGATTCGGATGGTTCGGTAAACCCACCCCTCACTTACAAAGGTCCAGAATTTGTCCCATGCATGAGCTTATTTGTCTTATTTTGACTGCTATGCCTTCATAAATAGTGAAAATAACCCATTGAAAAAGGCTTGAAGACCAAATGTAATCCTCTGTTGGCTGTCGATTCAATGTGACTTCAGCTAATCAGTTTTTCATGCTAACATTTTCATTTTTCAATCTACCGTAGGAGAAGTCATCTTTGTTTTAAACAGAGAAAACATTTTACATGCAACATGCAAATCCTGGACCTTCTTCTTATTATTATTATTATTTTGTATTTGGTTTTCAAAACAGTTCAGAACAAAACAAACAACAAAAACATTTTCAAAGGAAAATGCAAACAAAAAACATACAATACGAGAGTCAAAGGTCACCGAATACAATCTTACTCACATTCGCATTTGTAGTTGATAAAATATGGTTGCTATATAAATTTTGTTAAGAGTTACGCAGGCTCCAGCTATATATAAATAAAAGCAACACAATAAAATGAAAACATTTCATTTCTTCTCAACCGTTTACCCCACACTCTCAGAAAATATGGTTCAATGGGAAACCAAAATGTACCTTTGGTTTTTAAAAACCTTCATCAAAGGTACAAATCTGATCCATGAAGGTGCCACTTCAGTGACAAGACACTTTGTTCCTTAACAGCGTCAAAAGTGCTCACCAAATAATTACAAAAAATTCTGAGATTTGCATCCCATTAGTGTATGTACCTCTTTATTTAAATCTTGCCAATATTACAATCCCAAAACATGGAAAGGATCAGCTAATACATTTTTGCATTTTCTCATTAAACAAGTTTGATTTACAATACCTATAGTTTTGTTTTACCAGTTGTTTTGTATTATAATACTCAATAATAAATGTTCAGGAGTTTTTTAAGCAAATGACAATGTTTTAATCTGGAAATTATTCATAATTCACCTCATCTTTCCAGTCATATTTATTTTGGTCATAATAGTCATAATCTTTCCAGTCATATTTAAGAGTTGGGTAACACTTTATTTAGATCCTGCTTCTTCTACAGACTTTTAACTGACTATAAGAAACTTTGCAAGTACATGTCAACTTGCACTAACCCTAACAGTCTACTTATAATCTAATGAGAATTAGTTGGCGTGTAGATGTAATGTAACTTAATTCAACAAACGGACCATCAAAACAAAGTTGTCCATTGTTCTTTTTTAAATATTTCCCAAATGATGTTTAACAGAGCAAGGAAATTTTCACCGTATGTCTGAAAATGTTTTTTCTTCTGGAGAAAGTCTTATTTGTTTTATTTTGGCTAGAATAAAAGCAGTTTTACATTTTTTAAAAGCCATTTTAAGGACAAAATTATTAGCCCCTTCAAGCTAATTTTCTTTCGATAGTCTACAGAACAAACCATCGTTATACAATAACTTGCCTAGTTAACATAATTAAGCTAGTTAAGCCTTTAAATGTCACTATATATATTTTTCGATAGTCTACAGCAGGGGTTCCCAAACTTCTCAGCCTGCGACCCCCAAAATGACAATGCCAGTGACTCGCGACCCCCAATATCCTTTGAGGTGGTTATAAAGACAGAAATCTTGCATAAAATGGCACACACACACCAATAGACCCGAGTCTATTACTCATTGATTTTTTATTATGTATGTAAGTGCTGTAAATGTGCCAGAAAGTTTAACTCTGTGTTATAAAATCAATCTGTTTGAAGGGTAAATTACCAGGTGCTTAGTTTTAAAATTACATCCCATTAGTGCATTTATCTCTTTATTCACATCTTGCTAATATTACAATGCCAAAACATGGAAATGATCAGCCAATACATTTCCCCATTTTCTCCAGCATTCACCATTTTTAGATCTCTAGTTTAAAAGTGTTTTAATTTAGGTGTCACTCTCCATGTTTGATTTTGTTTTTATATACACAATTATGCCGTCAAACTGTTGTATAAACGCAATATCACACTCGTAGCA